ATAATGTCTATTCTTTTATACATGATAATAATTAAACCGACTTATAATTTTATTAGAAAATCCGATAGAAATAATATTTGATTCAAATTATTAATTATTCAAACTCAAACATTAGTCCAACATATTATAAAATAATATAATACATATATATAGTTTCATGTTATAGTTTATTATAATTTTATTGTAACTTAATTTCAAGTTAATTATAAGTTGATTTTTATTATAAATAGATTTTAAAAAGGTTTGTTAAATTAATAAAAATAGTTAGATAAATATAATGACTGCATTGCAAAAAGTGTATATTAGTGAAGTCCAACTTTCAGGACGATAGGCTGAAATTAATATATATATATATATATATATAGATATAGAGAAAATACATGTAGTGTATAAGGATCATTTATAAGTAGTAGAGCTTAGAATGCTAAGATCACGTCATTGTAAACCTCAATTTTATATTATGAAGCTTTTAATATTTTGTCAACTTGAATAATAAATTAAAACTAACAACTAAATAATTTTGATCAAAATTAAATAACGTCTAAATAGAATTCTTTTATTTAAAATTATTCCTTTCCCGCGCTGAAACCGAGTATTTTAATATTCCCGGGCGAAAGAACTACAGTATAAGTAAAGTTTTAAATAAATAAAAATAACATCCACTAGATGGAAGCATAACAAAACCAACGCCTTGTAAATAGATGAGCACTGACATTTATATTATGGAGTAGTTCGGTTAATCTCGCCGGGCGTTCGTGAACATTCGGTGATCGAGAAGCACAGCGTAAAACAACTCTGCCGACTAATACACTGAAATTTAATTAAACATATTTTTTTTTTTTTCTTTAATAAATAATTGTTAATTGTGATTTTATTCAAATAATTTACGTAGTAATTAGTGATCGACAAAATGGTTGATTACAGCAAATGGAAAGATATTGAGGTAATTCTTATTTTATTTATTATTTATAAAGCACAAGCTCTTGATGGAGAATTTTCTAGAAATTAAAGATGAATTCTGTAGTTTTAGTATTTTATTATTATACTGAATCAGCAGGCATCTGATTATTTTTTTAATTTTTATTACAAAAAAATATTTTGAAAAAAATTACACTTGTCATTTTTTTTTTTTAATTTTTAAATGTGGAATTTTTTTATTATAATTTTTGTACAATAATTTATTTGTTAAAAGTTCTAAAAAATTATTAATATTTTATTAATTATTCAGAATTTAATTTTAAAAAATTTAATGTCAAAATAATTTATAAGAATTTTAATAAAAATAATTTATAAAATGTTATTAAAGTGTCATAATTTTATTATTAATTGTTAATTTAATTAGATTTCAGATGACGAAGATGATACTCACCCAAATATTGATACTCCATCATTATTCAGATGGAGACATCAAGCACGTGTGGAGAGGATGGAAGAGCAGAAAAAACAAAAAGAAGAATTGGAGCGTATTAAGGAGCAGTAAGTTTATTTTTACTAAAAACAATAAATTATTTGGAGCAGTTATTTAAATAATTTTCATTTTAAACAGGACAGTCTCAAAGGTAGAAGAAACTAAGAAGAAAATAGCAACGCTGGAGAAGGAGCAGGCCAACCCTGAAGATCTGAATACCTTGAAAAAGTCTCTGCAAGAGTTGGAGCTGGAGGAGCAAAAGGTCAAGGCTAAAGAAGACGAGCTGAAGAAGAAAGAAAAATTAACACCCTGGAATGTTGACACTATTGCACAGGCTGGGTTTACCAAGACTGTTATAAATAAAAAACCACGCAGGCGACCGGATGAGGAGGAACAGTCGCTGCCAGATGATGTCAGAGAATTGAAGATGAAGGAGTTTGTCAAGACCAATGAGAAGAGCTTGAAGAAATTTGGAATGCTGAGACGTTATGATGACAGTAAACAGTATCTTCAGGAAAATTCGCACCTTGTTTGTGAAAATACGGCTAATTATTTGGTGATTTGGTGTATTAACTTGGAAATGGAGGAGGTGAATTATTTTTTATTTATATTAAATATAAATAGTGCTGAAATTAAAAGATATATGTCAATTTTTTATGAAAATTAATTTAAAAAATAATTTATCGCAGAAAAATTCGAAAAAAAAAATTGGCATGCAGAAACTTAAATAATAAAAAATGCAATTTTAAAGTCACTGCTAACTTTAAAGTCAAATCAATTGTTTAGATTTTTACAATTAAATTATTATGAAAAATTTTTATTAAAAAAATTCCACATCTACAAATTAAAAAAAAAAAACATTTTTTTTTTTCTTATAATTAATTTTTGTAATAAATATAAAAAAAAATTGTCAGATTTTTGCTAATTTAATATTAATAAATTTCTGATAATAATAAATAAATATTAAATAATTTAATAAATATTTCAGAAACACGAGCTGATGGAGCATGTCGCGCATCAATGCATCTGTATGCAATATATCTTAGAATTATCCAAACAACTGGACGTGGATCCTCGCGCTTGTGTTGGTTCCTTCTTTAGTAGGATTCAAATAGCCGATGTGGAGTACAAAAAGTCGTTCGACGACGAACTCGAGGCCTTCAAAGAGCGAATCAGAAAACGAGCTCAAGAAAAAGTCGCTGAGGCTCTCAAAGAGGCTGAAGAGGAAGAGAAAAAAGCGAGGCTTGGACCAGGTGGTTTGGACCCTGTTGAAGTCTTTGAAAGTCTACCTGAGGTAAATATTTATTGTCAGAATTTTTTTTCTTATTGAGATTTTAACTAGGAAATTTTATTAAATTTTATTTCACATTGCAGCCATTGCAAAAATGCTTTGAGGCTCAGGACATACCTCTGCTGCAGCAGACTATTGCCGCGATGCCAGAAGACGAAGCTAAATACCACATGCGAAGATGCATTGACAGTGGTCTCTGGGTTCCTGATGCCAAGTCTAAGGAGAGTGAATCTTCTACAAGTGAAGATAAACCTGAAGTCGCTACACCTACACCTGATCCAGAATAATTTCTTTTGTACATTCTGTGAGTCTAAAGCAATTATTTATCTTGTATTTTTAATTGAAATCATTTCATTAATTTTTTTTTGCTGTAATTAATAAATGATCCATTGAATTATAAATAATAATCATCTGGAATCCATTGTGTATATTTATAAATAAATTGATAATTTTGCAACTTCAATAAACTCGAAATTAATAGAAATAAAAAAATTTTTTTAACTAACAAATTATATTAAAATTAATTGACAAATTAAATGACAAAAAAAGTGATTTGTAAAAATTGTAAAAAATTAAAAATCCAATTTTTTGGAGCAAATTTGTTTGTTAAATAAAATTAAAAAGTTACAGCTAAATTTAATATCATATAAATTATTGTTAACAAATTTTTTTTTAATTCCACATGTAAAAATTAAAAAAAAAATTAAGAATTAATGAGTGTATTTATAAAATGAAAATTAATTTAGCAGGTATTTAATAATTTTTGTAACAATTAAATTATCGCAAAAAATTTTTTTGAACAAAATCATGATATGGAGAAATTTTAAAAAATTTGTTTGTCAAAAAAAAATCCAAAAATGGTCAAATGACTGCTAATTATAATATCATATTTATAAATAAACATCTTGCTTTCTATTGAAATTACATATGCATGCCCTTCGTAATTTATCATTGAAATCATTAAGGGTCGTGTACAATCGAAGCCATTTAAATACTTGTCACACTACTCACGATTTGACAATAATATGTGTAGTACACTAAAACTAGCGTATTGACAATGTAGTTGTATCGCTATGTTTACGACACGAACTTAAACTCTGTGATTGTAAACTGGCCTTAACACTACTGCGTCGATCTCTTCTATCGTTTTGTCCGCCAAGGTAATTTTACTCCAAACTCCATAATTACTAATTTATTTATTTAACTAAAATTTTACCCTAACAGCTTTGTACTCAGACTCAAAAAAATTTTTTCGCTCCATTAGTACCTATGCGCTGTCGCGCAATTTACATTCAGTATGTATTTATACGTATTTTTTTACCCTTCTATGCCTTGAGACATTTTGATATCCACGCCATTACATGGAATTACTCTAAAACATAAATTTTAATTGATATTTTAAATTACGTGTAGTGAAATATTATTACAGTACATTTTCCTTGTCAAAATTTTTTTGTTAAACCTTACTAGCGTGTATCTAATAATTTATTTTTTTTATAATTAAATTATTCATATATATATATATAAAGGTGATTTTATTAAAAAAAAATTTTCTAAATTTTTATAAATAAAATAAAAAATTTCCATCAAATTAATCTTTAAATAATTTGAGGTAATAATTAAATTTTTTTTTTTTTATATATAGATATCAAGCCGCAGTGACTTCTGGGTAAAAGGTGTACGCATCAAAATGGCCAGCAGCTGTTCTATTAAAACTCTAACATTCTCCAAGTCAAGTGGAAATCATACACACAATCTAAACACATAAGTAATGTAATGAGTATATGCGTTTATTCCAAGCAACAAAATTGCGCGCGTCGTTAATGTATGTGTGTGTGTGTATATGAGAACTTATGAAAATTAATTCAGCAGATATTTAATTTTTTTAACAAATAAATTATGAAAAAAAAATTGACATGTAGAAATTAAAAATTAATAATGCAATTTTATGAAAATTAAGTTAGCTGACATTTAAAAATTTTCATTTATAAAAAACTTGAAAATCTACAAGTGCAATTTTTAAAAATATTTTTTTGCTTCAATTTAATAAATAAAAAACAATAAAAAAAAATTATAAACGTCGGCTAACTTTAGTATTGCAATTTTTTAAAAATTTGTTTGTTAAAAAAAATTAAAAACTTATCAAGTGTATGAAAATTAAGTTAGCCGACATTTAAAAATTTTTTAAATTATTTTTTATTGAAAAAATTATTAAAAAAAAATGTCACTTGTAAAAAACTTCAAAAACTATAAGTGAAATTTAACAAAAATATTTTTTCGTTTTAATTTAATTATTAACAAAAAAATCAAATAATTAAAAACGTCGGCAATGAATGTCATGAATTTATGGCTAAAAATTCTATTTAATATTTAAAATAATTATTTTCTTTAGTTATTGATCAATTTAAAAAATTTTTCAATTTTTTATTTGACATAAAAATTAAAAAAAAAAAAAAAACAAGAATGAAAAAATTTCGGAGCGCAGTTGTTAGTAATTACGTAAAAAATAAAAAAAGAGAGTAAATAATATAAAGCGTGTAAAAAAAGAGGTCGTTAGTAATCAGTACTGGTAATAATATATGTATATTTACATGAAAATTTACATACATACGCCGGGTGTGAGTGTGTGAGCAAGTGTGTTAGAGAGTGTAGAGTAAAACAATAGTCTGGTCGGCACAAGACGGTAGCGACACTAACGGGCTCAGAGAGCAATTGAGTAATATATGCGCGCGCGTATTGCATTGTGGGTAAATATGGTGGGATGGTGAACTAACTGCGACGAAGGAACGGAATGGCGACACGATAGGTATAGGGGAAGGCGAACGAACGAACGAGTGAGTTCACAAAATGGCGTCCGAGCTTAAGCCCGCGACCATATAGTACGTGAGAATTCGATATTTTTTGTACGATGTTACAAGTTGATAGTACGTAAAGTCTTTAATATTGTGAGTGTTTCGAGTGTCTATTGCGTTAATTAATTATTGATTTAGAGATTTATAACAATTCTTTTCGGGAATTAGAGTAGGGGAATGATATTGAAGCCTCGGTAAGACGCGTAGAGAGACGGAATGATGCAGGTGAGTGGCTCGTGCGAGAATCGTTACCTTACTTAACTATTTATCTGCTCCACAATAATCAATTGTTGTTGTAATTTATTATTTAATTATTATTACAACGATCTATTGAATATTGTTAATTTTATAAATTACGGAAAATAATTATTAAAATATGACTTTGTTGTTTGGAATAAGCAAATATTCACGTTGCCGTATGTGTTTTATCTCTCTATTATTACCTTTAAAAAAGCTAATTATTTATAATAATTATTGTTAAATATATTTTTAATTATTTTATTGAGTTACGGGCGCGGTCGCCGGATCACTACCAAAACTTATCGCTTGAGATTTAACATTTTAAATCACAAGTTTTAAGTTTTTAAATAATATTTTCACTGCGAAAGAATAACCTATCCGTTTGTTTACATCCGTATATTATTACATTTTTTTCAATTAAACAATTAATGTTCCACTAATTATTTAACTTTATCATATTCTTTGGTTTATCCTCGATCTTCTCCATCGGTGATATTCATTTTTTGTGATGGACCCATTTTTGCAATTTAAGCTCAAACTTTATCAACAACAGCATTTTATTGTGACAACAGCTGTTTACTCCATTTATTTATGCATTTACTCAAAACTGAGACACATTTTTCGTCGTCATTTTTAATTTTTTACCCATTTAAGTCCTCCGACAATCAAGCTTTATTATTTTATTCAAATATTCCGTTTTATTTTCAAGATTTATTCATTTTTTTTTAGAGTAAATGCTGTCTGAAAAATTGAAAAATCTTTTAAAGCTCTGTACTGATTTTTGCTGTGAAAATTTATTTATTTATCAACTATTTTCATTTTTTTCAAATTCATTTTACAAAAACGTGTTCAATAGACCAAAAATTATTTACTCCGTAATAAAAATAAAATTATTAAATATATTTAAGATTTTTTTTTTCATTTTTTAACTCAGAGAATAATTATTTAAATGAACAAACATCATTATGATTTAGTCTTGGATAAATGTTCTTTTTTTTTTAACTGCAATAGAGATTATAAATAAATATGTGTCACCGTGGAGTGATTTGCCGAATTTTATCTAAATAAATGAATTATTAGCTAGAATTTTAAAATGAATAAAATAAATAATTAAAAATTTTTTATTAAAATTTTTCTACAAAAAAAAATTTTCGATGAATATTTTTGTTAAATATTATTTTAATAAATAATCAGTTTTATTGATTTTTTTTTTAAGTATTACGTGTTGAAAACAACTGCGCTATACATACTAATAAATAATTTTGAGTATTCATTTAAACAAATATAAAACTCTAGTATTGTAATATTATTTTTACATATTTTATTACTGTTGTAATAAACTGCGATATAATTAATTTGTAAATAAATTTCAGGTGTTTTAATAAAAATAAATAAATAAACAAAATTAATTATTGATAATTATAATTTATTTATTATGTAATACTCTTAAGTACCTTTCTATTTTCATCTAAAAAGTTCATCATTGGTCTTCAGTGGATTTTAATTTTTTTTAGCTAAAATTCTTTATTTTACTCCAAACAACATGGTCATTGATAAATTTCATAAATTATTTTATAAAATTGAAAATAATTGTAAATGATTAATTTAGAAAACGCAGATAGAATCCGAGTCTGGCAAAGAGTCAGCGTCTGATTCGGATAATGAGAGTAAAAGTGACCAAAGCAGCAGTTCCTCTGGTAGTAATTCTGGATCTGAAAGTGATAGGTAAGTGTAAACTGAAAATATACATTAAAAAAGAAATATATTCAGTAGCTCAAGTTAACTCACGTTCATCAAACTTGCAATAAACACACTACTTACAATCCAAAGTATATTTTAAGGGAGGAAGTCCATGTAAATGCCTCAAAATCGGTCATTTTTTTAAAAATAATTTAATTGTTTTTAAACTTTAACACAACTTTATTGTACCTTTCTAGAGTAAAAAAGTAATTTTTTTTTTTTTTCCTTTAAAAATGATGGCTTAGGGTAATTTTTTGTTTATTTATCACTCATTAATCGTTGATTTGAAACAAAAAAAATTAAAGTCTTTTCAGAACATATTAACGGAAAGGATAAACCTTCAAAATTAAAAAAAAAGTATAAAATTCAATATAAAATAATCCTTTGAAAAAAAAAGTCAGAATTTGGAGCTATTTTTTTGAAATTTTTGCCCTCAAAAAAATATTTTATCAAAGCAAAATATCTAAAATTTTAGGTTTATCCTTCTGATAGTAATATAAAGAGAAAAGCCTGACCAAATTTCATTCGAGATTTTTTTTTCTCTCGTCAGTACACGCTCAACATACTATATTTTCAGATTATTATTTAGAAAAAAAAAAAAAAAATTGATTTTTTGAAAATTTTACATGGACTCCCCCTCTTTAATATAAAAAATTATTCAACGCTACTATGATGTTATTGATCAATTAGAGGCCACATGTGTTGTTTGTTGTTAAGTTCACTTTGCTATTGTACTTAAAAATACTCATTGAATCCTCGTTGGACCCAAAAGTGACTCTAGCTCATCAAGTAGTGGCGGTTCAAATTCCTCAGCGGCTTCAGTAGCGTCTGAGTACTCCGCCAAGTCGGATAAATCCGACCCACCTGCACAAAATGATAGTTTTCAGAGCGGAAAAAGCTCCTCGGGTAACAGTGCCTCGGCTAAAATCAAAAGCCGCCGCGAGTCCAATCGCGAGTGGGATGACAATCCCGATATCTACGGAATCAGGAGGTCTGGCAGATCCAGGAAGGGTCCTGAGAGACTCGATACCGCAAACGCCACCTCTCGTGAGAGCGATAACGATAACCGTAAAAAACTTAAGAAAAAGAGGTAGGTAACACCATCATGTTTTTTTTTTTTTTTTTTTTTTTATTTTATTTTATCTGCTTTTTTAATTAACCAGGATCCAGAATCGGTATCTATTTTCGTTTACATAATTTATTCATGTAATGCACGCCTACAAACAAGCTTCAGCATTTCAAAACAGTAATATGATTCTTCTTATCAATTACTGTGTACGGGTACTCAGTAGTTTTTTTTCACTTGCATTTAATTACTCTTAAGTCATTTAATATAATTTTTTTTTATTATTGTGAATCAATTTTTTTTTATTAAAGTTTATTTTTTTTTTTTTCTGTTACACAGTAGCCAAAATACTTGGAACTCTGAGTCTTCTGGAGATTCAGACTCGGAGGATTTTGAAAACCGACGACCACCTCCGGCTAGTAAGTCGATAAACAGGCGAGCTGCTCAAAAAGCTAAAGAAGCGCGCTCGAAAAAAAAACAGCGACGGCTTATGTCAGGGTCTTCTGATAATTCATCTTTTGATAGTGATGATAATCGAAGGTACTATTCAAAATAACGAAAAAAAAAATTGTCTAATTTATTTTTATTAAAAAAAAATTTGGTAAATATTTACAAGTGGAGTAATTTTTTATTTTCATTTTTTTGAACGAAATTTCTATTTGATTTTATTGATATATATTTTTTTTAATACATTAAAAAATGAACAATTAAAAAAGAAAAAAGTTGACTCACAATTTTAACAAATTTTCTAAAAAATTTATAAATTTTTTAGAAAATTGTGATATTCAACTTTTTTTTTTAATTGTTCGTTTTTTTATGTATTTTTCAAAAAAAATACATCATAAAAAGATAAAATATAAAAGCCAAAATTTTTTTCTGCATTTAAAGGCAAAAAAATCTATCGAAATCTTTATTTTTTTTTTTTTACGACATTTTTTTATCATAAATGCGCCATAAAATCATGTAGAATAAAAAATATTGAATAATGTCAATTTTTCACTTAGTTATGGCCCAAAATGATTTTATTAACATATTTTTTTTTAATACATAAAAAAATGAACAATTAAAAAAAAAAAATTTATTTTAATATTAATTTTTCACCTGTGAATAATTACTAAAAATTTTTTTCATAAAAATAATAGAAATTTTTTTCCATAAAATTAATAAATTTTTTTTTTTAGACATGTTGCTTCAAGAAGAGCAGGAACAGCAGCTGTTAGTTATAAAGAACAAAGCGACGAAGGCACAGCTAGTGAAGATTTAGTTGATGTTGATGAAGCAGCTTCGCAGCCATCAAATCAATTGGATCCAGCTGACAATGCCGAAACAATTGAGCGAATTCTAGCACAAAGAATAGGAAAAAAAGGAGGTATGATATTTTATTCTATTATAATACCTCAATTGATTGTAATTAAATGAGAATGATGAACGGTCATAATTGATATAATAATAATAATAATAATAATAATAATAATAATAATAATAATATTTATTGATTTTCAGTAACGGGTAATGTGACGACTGTCTACGCTGTTGAGGAAAACGGCGACCCGAATGTATCAAAACACGAAGACGAATCAAATAAAGAAGAAAGTCAAGTTCAGTACCTGATTAAGTGGAAAGGCTGGTCCCACATACACAACACGTGGGAGTCAGAAGAGTCACTCAAAGCACAAAAAGTTAAAGGGTTAAAAAAATTAGACAATTTTATAAAACGTGATACTGAAATAAAACAATGGCGAGCGTACGCCGGGCCCGAGGATATTGATTACTTCGAGTGTCAGCTGGAGTTGCAGCAGGAGCTTCTCAAGAGTTACAACAACGTGGAAAGGATAATTGCCGAGTACAAAAAGCCTGAATCTGAGTACCCGGATTATTACTGCAAATGGGAGAGCTTGCCTTACGCAGACGCTACGTGGGAAGATGGCGCGCTCATTGTCAAAAAGTGGCCCGATAAGATTAAAGAGTTCCGCGATCGTGAGGATTCCAAGAGGACACCCAGCAGACATACAAAGACTCCTGGAAAACGACCAAAGTTCCATCATGTTAAAGAGCAACCCAAGTATCTGGGTGGTGAGAGGAAGGATTTAATTCTTCGTGATTATCAGATGGATGGTCTTAACTGGATGATTCACTCGTGGTGCAAAGACAATAGGTATTTTTTTTGTTAAATTATTTTTTAATATAAAAGTTTTTTTAATTTTTTTTTTCTCAGTGTAATTTTAGCAGATGAAATGGGATTGGGTAAAACTATCCAAACAATATGCTTCCTTTATTATTTATTTCACACTCATCAAATTCACGGGCCATTTTTATTGGTCGTACCACTGTCGACAATGACATGCTGGCAACGTGAGATGACTTTATGGGCACCTGATATGAATTTTGTTACTTATTTAGGTGATGTAACTTCCCGTGATATTGTAAGTATATTTTTTTTTATTTAATTAATTAATTTTAAATATTCAATTTATTTAAAAAAAAAATGACACTAAAGTTAGCAGTCACTTGACTATTTTTTAATTTTATTTAATAAATAAATTTGTTCTAAAAAATTATTTAAAAAAAAATTACATTTATAATTTTTTTTAATTTCAATTTTTTTTGTCATAATTTATTATACAAAAATTCAAAAAATAATCAAAAATCTGCTAAATGAATTTCTATAAAAAAAAAAAAGAAAATTAAATATAAATTAATTTTATTAATTTACAGATTCGCCAATACGAGTGGTGTTACTACGGTACCAAAAGATTAAAATTCAACGCAATCCTTACCACCTACGAAATAGTCCTAAAAGACAAATTATTATTGGGTCAACTGGACTGGGCAGTGCTTCTAGTCGACGAGGCTCACCGACTAAAAAACGACGACTCTCTCTTATATAAAGCCCTAAGCGAATTCAGAACCGACCACCGACTTCTTATCACCGGTACACCTCTCCAAAACAGCTTGAAAGAACTGTGGGCTCTTTTGCACTTTATAATGCCGAATAAATTTGCGGATTGGGAAGAATTTGAAAAGGAGCACGGCAACACTGCCCAAAAAGGGTACCCCAAGTTACACAAACAACTAGAGCCGTTTATTATCCGGCGTGTAAAGAAGGACGTAGAAAAATCCTTGCCCGCCAAAGTCGACCAGATATTGCGTGTGGAAATGACATCTTTACAGAAACAATACTACAAATGGATATTGACAAAAAATTACAATGCTTTGCGCAAAGGCGTCAAGGGTTCAACAATGACTTTTATAAATATCGTAGTAGAATTAAAGAAATGTTGCAACCATGCATTTTTAACCAAACCGATGGACTACGATCGTGAAAAGAAAGACGACGCTGAAGATTATTTACAGACAATAATTCGTGGCTCCGGTAAATTAGCTTTACTCGATAAATTATTGGTCCGCCTGCGAGAAACTGGTCATAGAGTATTGATATTCAGCCAGATGGTCAGAATGTTGGACATACTGGGTGAGTATCTTCAAAAGCGACACTTTCCATTTCAGCGACTGGACGGTAGCATAAAAGGCGAGCTTAGAAAGCAAGCTTTAGATCATTTTAATGCCGAGGGATCCACTGATTTTTGCTTCCTGTTATCAACCCGCGCCGGTGGGCTTGGTATTAACTTGGCGACCGCTGACACTGTGATAATTTTCGACTCTGACTGGAATCCTCAGAACGACTTGCAAGCCCAAGCCCGGGCTCACCGTATCGGCCAAAAAAATCAAGTAAATATTTACCGGCTGGTTACCAAAAATTCCGTCGAAGAAGAAATAGTCGAGCGAGCCAAGAAAAAAATGGTCCTTGATCATTTAGTGATCCAGCGGATGGACACCACCGGCAGGACTGTGCTAGACAAGAAAGGTTCCGGCAGCAATCCTTTTAACAAAGGAGATTTGAATGCTATTCTCAAGTTCGGAGCAGAGGAACTCTTCAAAGACGAGGAGGAGGGCGACGAGGAGCCCAAGTGTGATATTGACGACATTTTACGGCGAGCTGAGACCAGAGACGACAGCTCAGCTCCAGCTACTGTTGGAGATGAGCTGCTCTCTGCTTTTAAAATTGCCAGCTTCGCTTTTGAAGAAGAGTCCACTGAGCCGGCTATGGAGGTCGACAATCCTGATAATGGAGAAGATAGCAGAGATTGGGCGGAAATAATTCCCGAGAATTTTAGAAAAAAGATTGAGCAGGATGAAAAGTGCAAGGAGATGGAGGATTTGTATTTACCACCGCGAAGTAGGAAGACTTTGCAGCAGATGAATAATCGGGGGAGTAAAGATGACGGGAAGAGAAAAAGACGCAAAGCTCAGAGCGATGAAGAGAGTGATGAGGGGGATGACAGTGTTGGAAGTGATGCTGATGGGTCTGATGATGAACGCCCGAAGAAAAGAGGCAGGCCTCGGATGCAGCCTAGAGAATCGATTAAGAGTTTTACTGATGTTGAAATCAGACGATTTATCAAGAGCTATAAAAAATTCCCGGCTCCGCTGAAGCGGCTTGATGACATTGCTGCTGATGCTGAGTTACAAGAGAAGCCTATGGTGGAGCTGCGGTACCTTGGAGAGCTGATGAAGTCCAGGTGCGACGCTTGCATCGCTGAGTTTGAAACCGCGAGTAAGGATGGAAGGGATAAGGAGGAGAAGGTTAAGAAGGAGGGCAAAGGTCGCAAGCGTGGACGAGGGCCTACGTTTAAGTTAGCGGGAGTGATGGTCAATGCCAAGTCGCTTTCTGCAGCTGAGAAAGAATTAGAGCCGCTTGATCAAGCTCTCCCTGAAGAAGAGGAGCAACGTGCTAATTGGCATTTAGATGTTAAATTAAAGCCTGCTAATTTTGACTGCGAGTGGAGCTCTGAGGATGACTCCAGATTGTTAAGGGGGATTTATATTCACGGCATGGGATCTTGGGAGGCTATCAAAATGGACCCGAGTCTTAAACTTGGGGATAAAATTCTTCCTGGTGATAACAAGCCACAATTAAAGCAGCTAAATGCTCGCGCTGAGTATTTGTTGAAGATTCTTAAAAAGCAGATGGATATGAAGCATGGATTGACTAGAAAGATGCGCAAGCCGAGGAAGCCTAAAGAAATTAAATCTGCGATTACGAAGGAACTGGTGGAGGATAATGATAGTCCGGGGGGAGCAAGTACTGGCTCTGGGGATGAGAATAAAAAACCTAAGGTCAAAGGGGACAAGCCGGTGGTTAGTGTTAAGAAGGAAGAGCCGGATGTGGGGGTTAAGAAGGATGTTAAGGATGATATGAGCGACAGTGGGCTTGCTGTGACAGGTACTGGGTCAGTTGTCACGCCTGAGGATAAGAAAAAGGAGAAGAAGATGAAGAAGGAGAAAAAGGAGGGAAAGAAAACTAGAAGGAGCAAACAGGGCGGGTCTGCTTTGGCTACTGGACCTATGCATTTTACTGCGAATAATGAACCACGTGCTCTTGATGTTCTGGGTGATTTGGACCCTTCGGTTTTTAATGAGTGCAAGGAAAAAATGCGGCCGGTTAAGAAGGCGTTAAAAGCGCTTAATCAGCCGGATCAGTCGCTCAGTGAGGAGGAACGGATTGCGCATACTAGACAGTATCTTGTTCAGATTGGGAATCAGATTAATACTTGTTTGTCTGAATATAAAGATCCGGAGCAGATAAAAGAGTGGCGGAGTAATTTGTGGTATTTTGTGTCTAAATTTACGGAGTATGACGCGAAAAAATTGTACAAGCTTTATAAACATGCTACGCGTGAAAGGCAACATGATGATAGTTCTAATTTATTGTCCAGTCCGGAGAAAAAAGAGGAGAATAATTCACAAAAGCACACCCAGGAAAAACATCCACCAGCTGAAGCTGCGGCTAATCCTTCCAAAGAGGCAAGGCCTGTAAAACGGAGGTTCCCGGAGGAAGTCGAGGAGAATTCGCCGAATAGTGGGTTGCCTAGTAAGAAACACTTGGCTGGGAATCATCATCACCATCATCATCATCATGGCAATGCTAATAACAGGCATTCCGGGTCGGCTACCACTGGATCGGCTACCTTGACTACTGCTACGACTACTACTGCGACTTCCTCGGCTTCTGCCTCAGCTTCTGTAGCTTCGTCTGTGACTCCAGTGCCTCTGGGGTCTAATAGTAATTCTAACAGTGGGAATAGTGTCAGTGGAAGTGATAGCTTGAGGCAGAAAGATGCTAAGGAACCTTCGAAACATAATAAAGAGGGGAAAAGAGATAGGGATAGGGATAGGGACAGAGATAGGGAGAGGGACAGGATGCACGATAGGGGAATGGATAGGCTAGGTGGGAAGGATGAGAGGATTAGGCGTGATAGTGGAGGGTATAATGTTGGTGGACACTACAGTGGACGGGATGATGATCATTGGCCTGGGCGTGATTCTAGAGATCCAAGAGATAGGTTAGTAATTTATTTATTATTAATGGTTTAGTTATTACTAAACTTTAAACTGTTTTTTCTTAAATATTGATGTTTTTAAAAATATAAACTCATCTTGATGTTACGCTCTTCAAGAGCTTTCATTTGAATACCCACATGCATTTTTGATATATTTTTCATATATACATATATATAATATATATAAATATATGAAAAATTGATGTGGGTATTCAAATGAAAGGTCTTGAAGAGTATAACATCGGGATGAGCTTATATCTTTAAAAACGTACAGTGCAATTTAACAAAAGTCATTGTTTAATAAAGCAAAATTTATTTTGTAATAAGTATGAAAACATTAACTGCTGAGAAATTTATTTTTTACAGAGACATAATTTGGAATAATAAGCTACCTGATTTAATTATAAATGAAAATAGAATTAATAATTTTTAAATTGATTTGAAAAAATATATATCTGAGTACATAGGACCTTTTGATAAGTTAAATTGTAGCAATACTTAGTACTGTGATATTTGTGATAAATTTTGTTAATAATTATAAGAAAAAACATGTAAGAATATTGTAAAAAATAGCTGTGAGCTTAATGAATAAATTATTATTATTATTGATTTGGCATTTAAGAAAATAATAATAATAATTTTTCAAAATAACGAATTATTATTTTTATTATTAAATAATTTTAAAGTGACATAATAAATAATATAAATAAAAATAATAAATATTTTATTTACCTTTGCCCTTTTTGCATTTCTTCTGAATTGTTTTAGTTTGTTCACAAGTTTTGTCTCCTTTCTTTAAACTCAAAGTACGTGATCGCATATTTGTTTTTGGATCGCATTCATTCCATTCGCCTTTTGAATATCTACAACTTGATCCATTACTTCCTGACGCTACAATAAAAAATAAACTATTACTTCTTTTATAAACAAAATTAATACATCACTCAAAAAATTTACTTAGTTTTAGAAATAAAATTATAGTAATAAATTTTCTTGTATTTATTACAGAAAATTTAAATATTTTTATTAAAAATAAAAATAAAAAATATCTATATATATGATTTTATAAGTAGACTAAGTGTTGTTTGTACTCAATTTAATGGAAATCGAATCCTTTTGAGAACAAGTATAAACATAACCATCTATTTTTATTACTTCAAAGATATTCATACACAGTAAAGTAATAATAATAACATTGAATAATATGAAAAGAAGAAAAAAATATTTTTTATAAAATGTAAAATTTTTTAAAATAAAAGAAGAAATTATTTTTCATAAAATTCATTAAAGAAGATGATAGTTTAATTTAAAAATTATAAAATAAAAGATACTTTAAAAATTATTATTACTTTTTGTTTGTATATTTATATGAAATGAATAACGAGGATAATAATAGCAAAGAAGAAAATAAATATAAATATCGGATATTTTAAAATGATCCTTAGAATAAATTTAAATAAATTCTATTTTAATAACATTGATCTTATGAAACTTTATTTAATAATAAAAAAAAAAAATAAATCTCTGTACATTATTAAAATGGAATTTATAAATCTAAAACTCAATTTCAGAGTACAAAGTATAAATAATTGAAATAATATTCTTGAAACATAAATGAATAAATTAGTTAATTGGAAAAACGAATCAGGGTATCTCATAATAATAAAATGTGCATCAAATGAAATGACTATAATAAAATAAATTATGTGAAAATATTATGATGGAACGTACCACGGTCTTTAGTACCTCGTACAGTTCGCACGAGTACTTCTTTGTCATCTTCTTCCTCCCATACATCGGATTCAGCTTGTGCCGTAATTGCCATTATTGAGAGTACAACTCCCAGCAGCAATATTAAGCTCCACCACAGCTTCATTGTACCTAGCAATAAAAAACAAAGGATTATATTTAGTTTACATAATTTATTTATTTATGTACATAAACGCCAATCGGCATTATTTATTTAAAAAACGCTAATCGGCAACATACATCCAGAATGTTACAACGAAAAAAAAAAAATCAAATATAAATTTATAATTTTGAGAATAATGAAGAAATAACAATTTCACATTTTAAAGATTTGTCAAAAATACTGCAGTTTATCCGGTGAGATTTATCAGGATACTAAAAAAAATAGAAAAAGAAGAGATAATTAATTTATTTAAATTAAATTGATTAATTTTATCCCAAAAGAAGCTTCTTGGCCATTCTTATGAAGGATCCATAGATAATTTAAAAATTATATATCTATTAATTAGTTTATTATTCTTTAAATTATAAATTTTAGCTTAAGGAGGGAAGTCCATGTAAAAGCCTCAAAATCGTTCATTTCTTAAAAATATTTTTAAAGATGATAAAATAATTTTATTGTTTTCAAACTTTAACACAAATTTATAGAACCTTTCTAGAGTACAAAAGCAATTTTTTTTTCCTCTCAAAATGGCGGCTCAGGATAAAAATTAATGTTTTTTCTTTTTAGAACATATTAATGACAAAGATAAACCTTTAAAATAAAAAAAAAAAAAAATATATAAAATTCAATATAAAATAATCCTTTGAAAAAAAAATTCAGAATTTGGGGCTATTTTTTGGACCTCAAAAAAGTATTTTATCATTTCTAAAAAATACATCACGTCTTTGTTATTCACAATTTCGACGAACCGTTTATTCTCACGGTAATGAAAAGTTTAAATCACATTAAAAAAAAAGTGGAATTATTCTAACAAGTTGTTTATAATTTATTACTAGCTGACATTAAATATTTAAAATAAAGTAATTGAATAATAAACGTGTACAAAGGTCAAAAATATTAAAAATAAATATTAACTGAATAATTAATGTTATTATTAAATAATAATTAATATTAGGAAGTAATGATTATTAACTTACTTGTGTAATAAATATATTATTTCCATCATATGGACTTTGATTATTTTTGAAAACTGTCATCTTTAGTGATAATTACTCAATTAATAGACATCACACTTTAATTTATAATTTTACTTTTTGAAATTATTTTAATTATGTAAAATTTTATGAGAAATGAATAAATTTATAATAATAACTTTGTAATTTTATTTTTTATCTTTTTCACTTTTATTTATTCACTTTTTTTATTAACAATTTATGACACTGACTTTAACAAACACTAAAAAAACTTTTTTAAATTGTTTAACAATTTAATTATTACAATTAAAAGTATTTGTATTAGTGTAATTAATTTGTTACAATAATTTATTAAACTGACAGCTGTTTACTAACTTCAGTATAATAAAAATTTATATATATATAACTTTTAAAAAATTCTGGAGCGCCAAAAAATATCATTGGACTAAAAAGTACTGAGCGCGCCACCTGTCGGAGTGAAAATAAAACATTTCTCTGTGTTGACCAGTAACTTTTGTGTAATCTGAATTCGGAGCGAATTTACTGACTTGTAACCTCTAAAAAGCACGTGTGTTAAAAATTATTACGGAGTAATAATTAGTTGTGTATTGTTAAATTATTTTTTCTATTGAAAATTTTAGGTACTATTTTACCTAACTTAGTTTTTTATATTTGAAAAATTTCTTGAAGAAATATTGTGAAAATGTCATCGATTGTTCGTAAAAAGCATGGTCAGGGCAATCGTAAACGAAAGGTTGTTTTATTGTTTATTTATTTATTAAAATTTGATACTGAAATCAGATTTTTTAGTTTTTTTTTTTTTAATTAATATGTGAAAAAATATTCGTTGTGTTGTTGTTATAAATGTTGAAATTTAAATGTAGAATTCTTTTTATTTTTTAATTCTAAAATTGTGTAATGTCAATTTTAGTATCATATTTTTTAATATTAAAATTTTTATTTTAATAAATTAATTTTTTTTTAGGTCAATGAAACTTCAAAGAATAAATCTGGGGATTTAAACAATAAAATAAGTAAAAAATATAAAAGAGATAATGACGATGACAGTATAGCCAGTAGTGATGAAGAATTTGCTGAAGAAAATTACAAAAAGTATGATTTTTTATTTATTTTTTAAATTAAGTTAGCCGACATTTAAAATTTTTATTTTTATTGAAAAAATAAAAAAAAAATAAAAATTTCATTTGAAAAAAAATTGAAAAACTTTAAGTGTAATTTACAAAAAAATATTTTTCTCCAATTTAATAAATTAAAAATGTCGGCTAACTTTATTATTATAAGAAATTTATTCAAAAATTTATAAAAATTAATTTAGCAGATATTTGATAATTTAAAAAATTTTTTTTGACAAGTAATTTATGGCAAAAAAATTATAAAAAAAAATTGACATGTAGAAATTTTAAAAAATTAAAAATGCAATTTTTTAGAACAAATTTATTTGTCTAAAAAAACTATAAAAATAATCAAGTGACTGCTAACTTTAATGTCATAAAAGTTTTCAAAGTCACTACTCATAAAATTGTCAGAAGTTGTTTATTTTTTGTATGATAATTAAAAAAAAAAAATAAATAAATTTTAATAAAAATTCAAAGGTTGGAAGCAAAAGGAAGAGCTGCAGATTTCGAGTCCGATGATGAACAAGAAACTGCTGAGGAGAGACGTGTTAAGTTAGCAAAACTTCATTTGTCTAAATTGAAAGCAGAAGGTATAATTTCATAAATCATCTCTTAAGATAAAAATAATAATAATAATTTTTATAAATTATTTAATAGTACAAACTGGAGATCAGGATGATGTAGAAGACATTGTCGCGCGTCGGCTACAAGAAGAATACTTGGAAGAAAAAGGTCGATTGAAAAAAACTGTAGCCAGTCATTACACAGGCCACGAAGATTTAATTGATTTAAAATGTAAAAATCACCGTGACTCTATTACTTGTCTGTGTGTTTCCAGTAATGGAAAATTTTTGTACAGCGGGTCTAAAGACGGAACTATTATAAAATGTAAGTGTAAATTGAGAAGGTATGATTAAAAATAAAGTATTTACTTATTAATTTGAATTGCAGGGTCTTTGAGTGACAGAAAAAAAATACATGTGATAGGTGCCAAGAAGAATAACAAAGAAGCTAAATCGATACTCTGCATGGCAGTAAGTTCGGATGATAAATTTTTCACAGTCGGGCAGGCTAAATCCAATGATATCAAAGTCTACAATCCAGACAATTTAACGCTGATTAAAAATTTAACAAAACATCGGGGGAGTGTAACTGGTCTGGCTTTTCGCCGTGACACACATACTCTGTACTCGGCGTCCGAAGACAGAAGTGTCAATGTTTGGAACCTAGATGACATGGCATACGTTGAATCTCTGTTAGTTCCTATCTTCAATAATTTAAATTTAGTATTTTTAGTGTTATAGATTGGATTAATTTTTTAGAATTTAACTGAACTATAGATAGAAGTTAATTTATTGATATTGAACGTGTATGTTGTTTTTAGCTTCGGTCATCAAAGTCCTATTACGTCGATAGATGCAATGACACAGGAACGTTGCATAACGAGCGGCGGATACGACAGATCAATAAGATTATGGAAAATAGTACAAGAGTCACAATTAATATTTAATGACGTTGAGAGCAGTAGCAGCGTTGACTCTGTTAAGTTTATTAATGACCAACATTTTCTGAGCTGCGGTGACAACGGCCAGCTGTGTTTATGGAACGTTATGAAGAAGACGCCTAAGTACTCGTTAGCACCTGCTCATGGTGTTGATGCAACTAATGGAGAACCGATGTGGATCACCAGTATTGCTGCCTTATTAAATACTGATTTAGTTGCTTCAGGTTATTATTATTATTATTATTTAATTTTCAGTGAAATTTAGTGTCATTGCAAAGGTCTTGACTTGAATTTGTGCCAAGGATACATAATTAAAAAATGAACTTGTATCTTGTGAAATATTGACATTTTCAAATATATAAGCTCATTTCGATATTACATTCATCGAGACCTTTCATTTGAGTACCCACATCAATTTTTCATATATGTTATATATTTATATATATTATATATATATATATGTATATATCAAAAATATATCAAAAATGCATGTGGGTACTCGGATGAAAGCTCTTGATGAGTGTAACATCAGGATGAGCTTATATCTTTAAAAATTTCAATAATTAAGAAAAGATCTTGTATCTTGTGAAATATTGACATTTTCAAAGATATAAGCTCATTCCGACATTACACTCATCGAGACCTTTCATTTGAGTACCTACATCAATTTTTCATGTATGTTATATATTTATATATATTATATATATATATATGTATATATGAAAAATATATGAAAATGCATGTGGGTATTCAAATGAAAGCTCTTGATGAATGTAACATCGGGATGAGCTTATATCTTTAAAAATGTCAATAGTTAAGAAAGTACAGTGCAATTTAACTAAAGTCATTATTTAATAAAGAAAAATTTTATTTATTTATACTTCACAAGTCATATAGTGACTGCAAGGTTGCTAGTTATTACTATTATTTTTTTTTATTTAAAAAAAAATTGAAATTATTTTATAATTATCATTTTTAATGACACTAAAACTCGAAATTGTTTTATGATTTACGATAAATGACCTGTGAAAAAAAAACCGCGGTAAAGCAATTAATTACTGGCTTTAATTTAAATTATAACGTGACCTAAATTCGACCGTAATATCATTTAAATTTCGATAGATATTTAAATTATTAAAATGAATTTTCCCTCGATTCGAATATTAAAATTAAAAAAAAAAACCAAATTACCAAAAATTTAATTAATCCACTTAATTTATTATTTCAGGTTCGAGAGACGGCAATGTTAAATTGTGGCACTGCGAAGATTCATTCAAATCGTTAAAACTTCTTTTTGAAGTAAAAATAAGTGGATTTATCAATTCTCTTGTGTTTACACCAGACGGGAAAAACTTAAAGCTTGCGAACAAAGAGGAGCTAATCTCAGGGCTTACGCGGATTATCTTCTGCAGCAAGTATTCCGAGAACTTGTAAGCTCAGAATCAGTCCTCTATCTTCAAGTCTTTATCGAGGATGCGTATGAAAGCTGTGTGGGACCAAATCACGGCAAGTTGGACGCATTCACTATGATGAGAACAATCGAGAAGACTTACGAGAGCCTCAATATGACTCTCGACAAGCTCCCCAAGGAGATTGTCAGGCAGTGTGAAAAAGAAGGCTTCACGCAGGAAATGAAAATGATGCGAGAAGCTGAGGATGCTGCTCAAAAGGTATAATAATAGAATAATAATGTTAATGGACTGTTTATTTAAATTTTTAAAAAGAATATTTATTGAAAAAAAAACTTTCTCCCTTTTTCTGTAGTTCAATCTGATGCATCGACTGCTCGCTGCACTGGAGCGAATAATGGAACCTCCTGAATTGAATATAAAAAGTAAATCTCGAGATAAAGATGGTGATAAATCATCCAAGCGTAAATCATTGGTATCATCTCGCTCGTCTATTACTTCGAGGCAAAAAAATTTGCAGTTAAAGCAGCTAACAATGGCCAAAAGATCTCCTGAATTTTTAGGCGATGATAAATCCCTGGATCAAGAAATCAAAGATCTGACTTTTGAGATAAAAAAACTTGCCAAAGATTATCTGCCGGCAGAAAATCTGTCTGCAGAAGAACGACACGACTGTCGTGATGAAATTGAATAATTGAGCTTTGTCAATCTGGTTAATTAAATTATCAGATTATCACTGAATTTATATAAATAGTATAAATTTTGTCCTTATAAGTAGACTGTAAAAGAAGCGTGTAATTTATAGCGTGGGATGTGGGGAAAAGGAAATGTCTTGCATCACGCAACATGCGTAGGCGACCAATGTTCCGGTTTATAAAGAACGACTTCTCGCCTTTATTATATAAAAATATAATCAATAATTTTATACTTAGTAAAATTTATCAGTTGATATATTTAAAAAAAAAAAAAAAACTGCAGTCCAAATATTACTTTATAATACTTACTATTATGAATTAAGAGCGTTAATGATAAATAATTCGTCTACATAATAAATATTATCGATATACCAATAATTATAAAATTTCATTGTTGCTTTATAATTGTTCCTAATTAATAATTATTATTATTATTATCAATTAATCATTGATTGGTTTAAACTCGAGATAAAATATTAAGACCAATAAACACAACAAGGGCAAGTTTTATACATAATTAATAATAATAATTATAATAGCAATAATTGTTTAACATACATTTTCTCATTACTTTGTTATAAAAACAACGTGAAGACTTATTCTTATTACCTAAGACTCGAGTAATTGCTACCGCAAATAAGTGAGAGAAGTCGACTGGCATAAGTTATAAATTTCAATTATCTAATAACATAATTTAATACAAATAAGACACTCGATATGTCACGTAAGTGTTAATTAACATAACAGATAACAAGTCTGAGAATTTAATAAAAAAAAAAAAAAAAAAATGATAAGAATTAAATGAAAATGATTCTAAACAAGTTAATGGATCAGCTCGACTTACTCTCTTATTTGACAAAGCAACTTAACAGCAAATATACACAAATTATGCTATATAGTCACGTTTTTTTTTTTTTTTTTTATACATTACGGACCAGTGTTTATAATAATTATTATGATTTGTATTTACATTTGAATGTTACCACACACTCACTCCATTTATAGCACAGACTTAAAACAAGTGTTAAGTCGACTAGTATTATCACTCTAGCTTACGAGTGACGTTTTGATAATTAAAAAACATATTTTAGTAATAGCAAATTAATTGTAATGATAAAAAAAAAAATAGTAGTAGTTAATAATTAAAACGAAATGTCGATATAATGAGCAATGAAATGACTAATGAGAGCAAGAAGCTACCGTATGTAAACAAAATATCGATTAATTGTCTAATTAATATTTAATATATAATATAAATGATATTATTAAATAAATACATAGACGTCTGGGTTGTCTTGAAGTTTAATCATGTGACAATCAATTGCCAGCAACGATGTCGAGACTCAACTGGTTGGTCGTGAGTTTTATATTTAAACGCAAAAAATATAGAATAACCAAAACTCAAGCTCCAAAAATCATTAAACTATTAAATACACATTGCACGAACGTAAGGACAGTAGGTCAGCGGATACAAAGATGTGTAAAGTATTAATAGATAATAAGAGGCACGAGTATGTAATAATACTAAAGTTAGCCGACGTTTTTAATTTTTTATTTATTAAATTAGAACTAAAAAATATTTTTTAAAAATTAAACTTGTAGTTTTTCAAGTTTTTTACAAATGAAATTTATTTTTATTTTTTTAAAGTGATTTTTTCAATAAAAAAAAAAATTCTAAAAATTTTTAGACATCGGCTAACTTAATTTTCATAGTATGTAAGACGATGAGTTAGTCAATTGTAGCATCAGTCAAGAGTTACTCTCTTCTCTTTTTTTCTCTCTAATTTTTCAACTTTCTCCCATTCTCTACATGTCACTATTTATATTTCTATTCTTCTTTATATATATATATATTTTTTTTTTTTTCAATTTATTTATTGTATATGTATATTTGTATTGTAATTGGTTGAAAAAGACGTATTATCACGATGACAATAATCATTGAGGTCGGATTGTGGTTCAATAATCGTTGCAACAATATTAACGTTGTATTTTGATTAATAAAAATATTAATCACCAACGCGTTTCAATAAATTTAATATTTATCTTAAATATCCACATTTCTTCTTCATAATTATTAATTTAATTTGTTATTATTACTTTATATATCTGGTATTAAATATTTAAATTTAAAAAACCTCCTGCTATAAACACGTCTCGGTAAAACGGGGCAGTTAAGTCAGAGGAGTTGTCAGTTGGTGGGATGTTTATTAGTTTTGTCGGATTGTACTTGACTCGTCGTGGACTTGAGCTTCCAAACTTGGGTAACGACGATTCATCAAAAAATTCCCCACACACATACACACACACACACACACACACTGAGATATATAAACTGTACAAGCATGTATACTCTTTGAGTGCGGCAGCGAGTGAATAATCCGGTCATACAACTTCTCGAGAGAAAAGAAGTAAGTGGATTTTTTAACCGGCCAAATATCACAATGATAATTGGTTGATATTTGAGGAGCTGAGTAGTGCTATCAGAAGACACACGTACAGTCCTCGGAGGCGCGGGCCTACCTGGCCCGTTTGCGGTTCAATTTAGCGAGTTTGCGCCGCTTCTGTATCAATTGGTAAAGAGTATCCAGGCCCTCGTGGAGACCTTCCCCGGTGATAGCACAAGCCGGTTGGACTCTTATGCACGAACACCCCGGAGATCCTGTCAGCTCAAGCACGCCAAGGTGCTTCTCCAGCTCGCCAACCTCTTTAGCACCTAAAAAATAAAACCCACAAGACAGTTATTAAAGGTGACTCGACTGGCTTTATCTCAAGCTCTCTTCGCTTGACTTTATTAAATAAAATTTTTTTTACTCTCCATTCTTCTTATTATTTTTCACTTACCCGGTAAATCTTGTTTGTTAGCTAAAATAAGTATCGGCACTCCGGCATTGTCTGGACTTCGAGCTGTTCTAGTTAATTCCATTTTAGCTTCCTCGAGTCTTTCCGTGTCACACGAGTCTACGACAAATATAATACCGTCGGTGCATCTTGTATAAGACTTCCACAGGGGTCGCAGCTTTTCTTGGCCGCCGACATCCCATACCAGAAAATTTACACCTAAAATCATTACAACAGTTAATACTTGTTAATACCTTTTACAATTTACATGAATGTTAAATAATTCAGACAATTGTTTGTGTTTCCGTTTCAAATTAAAAAAAAAAAAAACTAATTAAATTTTCTCAAGTTAAAATTATTTTTTGACTATTTCTATTTTTTAAATTATAAAATACCTATTAAATTAATTTATTCAAATAGTTATTTTAAAAGTACATTAACTTGTTTTTATAATCATTAAAAATATATTTTAATAGGCCTTCTATATTAATTAAACCAGATACAGATAAGGTGATTATTTATCTGAAGCTGTAAAAATAAATATCAATTTCCTTCTCTAAAGACTTTTCTTCCGTACAAATGTATACAGCCAATTAAAAATCATTTAAAAATAACTCTCGAGTCAAGGAAATCTTTTGAAAACACCATATGTTTTTTTTTTTCAATTCATCAAGATAATAATAACATGGCTATAAATTCAAGGCTATTGGATCATTAAAAGTGAGAGGCTGCCTAATGCCCTTAAAAATAATTACAAAAGAATATAATAATCATAAATATAAATTTTTCCTGAGAGCCAATACAGATTAGACTTAAATCGAAAGGAACAGTGTCTGAGTACAATAATAATAAATAAAAAAAAAAACCTTTGGCTTTTCCAATAGCCCCGCGAATTCTCTCACAGTTGAAACCAATCGTGGGAACAGTATTGAGATACTGATCGAATTTGAGTCGATACAATGCCGTGGTTTTTCCAGCGCTGTCTAGGCCCAGCATGGCAACATGGAGTGGCGAGCCGGTGGGTAATGCCTCCAGGAGACCTCCGCCACTCGTTCCTGTCCTACCCATCCCAGCACCCATTCCTTCCGTCTATCTGGCTTCGTTATCTGCCAAGTCACACATTTAGATGCTATTTATTGTTTCCGAGCAACCGCCGCTCCAATCTCTCCTCTGCTCACTCTCAGTTCACCTAAACAATCAAATACAATTTGCATTACGACATTAATTCATCATTACTATACAACATACTTATAACATCAATATAATCTATCATCATTATCATCAAATAACTATCATTATTATTATTATTAAAATTATTTAAAAAAAAAACAATAATAATAATAATAATAATTTTATATAACTATGATCAGTAAACACCATCTACATAATTATGTTAGAGAATACATATTTTAATTCATTAACTTTTGAATGGATATAAAGAGAAATCTGCGTATAATATAATAATAAAATGCATTTAGGATGAAGCAATACTCTTCGACGATATTGGTACAGAGTGTTAGAGCACGTTATTATGACCTACAGCGCCAGATTTCTCTCTCTATAATTCTTTTCTATTATATATTATATCCCTCAACATCACTAGGGATATCTATATAATAAAATAGTAAATATATCTTTTACAGAGCCAACTAAACTCATCTCCCAAGTTATTCAGTAGAGTTTTAAGATACATATAGCCAGCCAAGACTCAAGACTATAGAGATATAAAAGTTTCAGCGGAGAATAAGCAGAAGCTAATGTTAGCCAAATCTCATATATTATTATCCGACTCTGTGAATTAAACTCTGGCGTTTACCTACTTTTAACAACTAGACTGCCTTACTATTCATCCGACGCTGATATCAAAAACTCTGGATTGTAATCCGCGTTCAGGTTCAGATCAACGATAAGAGAGTTTTTAGTTGGCTCATACTCTTACTCACTGATAGTGCGATAAAATAAAAAAAAAAAAAAATCCACAGTGAGAGGAAGATAGAGATAATAATAGGAGATTAAAGTGCGAGAGAGAGACTCCAGAAGTAAAGGGAGTGAGTTGAAGGAGAACAACTGTATTTTACACACATCAGACATTTTATCGTATCGTATATATTCAATATGAAAGTAGGCTTCGCATATATTGACGCTCAAGATGAAGATGAGCCAATTATCAGCATCAGCTCTCTGGCTGTATGTGCCTGATGCTTCTTCCTCTCAGTTCTTCTTCCCCTCTCGCCTCAATATTACACATTACACATTAAACATTGTGTATATATAATTATAAACGAGTTAACTTTGCGTCTGCAGAAGTGGAGGTTTAGCTTAACTCGTGCCAATACTCGTATCGTTACTGCATACAATACGGGTAATATAACTACAAACTACAATATAAAAACGTATTATACGTTCTTCTTATGTGTACCTATACACACTCGTATTAGCCATGTAGTGTGTTATTTTATTTCTTTAGATTTTATATTTTTAAATGAGACTAGAGTAGTACACACAGACCGTTATTCTGGTGGTTCGTGGTCTGCAGCTCCTCGAGCAAACGTATTATCCGCTCCGTAGCTCTGATGCCATGCTGCAAGTCTTTTCTTCTGTATGACTGGAGCTTTATATTCCAACTGGAGTTTTTAGTATGTAACTCATGCACAGTATGAGTACGTACGTACATACCGTCGATGTAATACACACACCATTCTGGTAAATCAGTCATCATGTTTGAAAACATGTATAAAAATACGGGCGAGGAAAAAGTAGGCACATAACGGAATCATTTTGTGGAAATGATTTCTCTAAAAAAGGTAAAACCCACGAAAGGGATCATTGTTTTCCGTTTACCTTTTATTATTTTTAAATAATTGTCAGCTATTTAAAATTCCTCCATTTAAAATTCATTATCGTCATTGTTATGGTTATTGTAATTATTTTCTCCTTGGTTACAGAGAATAGAACGTGAACTTTAGCTCTTGATCGTGCGTAGTCTCTATCGACTGGTAGGACGACGCGTGCGCAATTTTTCAACCCGTCGAAAAAAAAATCTCAAAAACTGAAAACTCCGCTGCTGTATATATCTACCTACGGACAGTTAAATAAAAAATAAAAAGAGCAAGAATCAGGATAAGGTAGAAATAATAATAATAAAAAAAAAAAAAGGTTCACGCTGAAAAGTTCTTGAAACACTTGAGAGAGCGGGGGCGTTTCTTCTCTATTCGGTTGCCTGGGTCTATGTCTCTCGACTGTAACTATTCACATCATCACAGTACATCACTCCCAAGTCCAATGTACTGAATTATTATGAATATATATGTATTCTGGATATGTACTCTCATCTGTGCTAACTCGTATTATAATACAGTTGTCGGGCCTTTTCATTCTATCCACCGTCCCGAACGAATGGGAATGCCAGTCTATTTTTACACTACCCTCATCTCGCCAACACTCCAAGCTCTGGCTCTGCCTGCTGCTGCACCACCGCTGTGTAACAAATCTCGGATGGATGTTTATAAAAAAAACACCAGGTTAAAACCCTATAAAAAACATTCTCTTTACTCATCTTCACCAATACATTCATACTTACTTACACTTACACGTACTGTTTCGTTCTAAACTTTCTATTACGTCAGCTTGACGCTGCTCCAAAACCCACGGGTTTTATTAAATTTAAGAAAAATAAGAGTTTTTTTTATTTTTTTTTTTTCTCTAAAACTCTAAACTATCATAATACTAAAGTTAGCCGACGCTTTTTATTTTTTTCGATAATTAAATTAGAACAAAAAAATATTTTTTAAAAATTGCACTCACAGTTTTTAAAGTTTTTTACAAATGAAATTTTTTTTTTTTAAATAATTTTTTCAATAAAAAAAAAAAATTCTAAAAATTTTTAAATGTTGGCTAACTTAATTTATGATCATTAAACAATCATGAAAATAAAGTTAGCCGACATTTAAAAATTTTTCATTTGTTAAAAACTTCAAAAACTATAAGTGCAATTTTTTAACAAATATTTTTTAGTTATAATTCAATAAATTAAGCAAAATATGGATGTTTATAAAAAAAACACCAGGTTAAAACCCTATAAAAAACATTCTCTTTACTCATCTTCACCAATACATTCATACTTACTTACACTTACACGTACTGTTTCGTTCTAAACTTTCTATTACGTCAGCTTGACGCTGCTCCAAAACCCACGGGTTTTATTAAATTTAAGAAAAATAAGAGTTTTTTTTATTTTTTTTTTTTCTCTAAAACTCTAAACTATCATAATACTAAAGTTAGCCGACGCTTTTTATTTTTTTCGATAATTAAATTAGAACAAAAAAATATTTTTTAAAAATTGCACTCACAGTTTTTAAAGTTTTTTACAAATGAAATTTTTTTTTTTAAATAATTTTTTCAATAAAAAAAAAAATTCTAAAAATTTTTAAATGTTGGCTAACTTAATTTATGATCATTAAACAATCATGAAAATAAAGTTAGCCGACATTTAAAAATTTTTCATTTGTTAAAAACTTCAAAAACTATAAGTGCAATTTTTTAACAAATATTTTTTAGTTATAATTCAATAAATTAAGCAAAATAAAAAAATAAAAAATGTCGGCTAACTTTATTATTATTATTAAACTATCATGATACTGAATTTAACAATTTTTTAGATTGTTATAACAATAAAATTGTAAAAATATTTTTAAAAATATTCTTTTTATAATAATTGACTTGTTATAAAAATTTGAATAATTGTCAGATGTTTGCTAATTTAAGTATCATTAAACTATCAGCCAATGCACAGTAAGCTCAGTCAACTGAAGTAATGTTCTTAAACATTTGTAAGACTTCAATTCTATTTCCTCGACCGCATTCACCATTTATTACCCGAATCATTGGGCTGATTAATAAATAATACAGTTTTATGATTCAATAAAAATAACAATGCACGTTATTTTTGAGTCACATGAGTACTGTTATAAATAAGTACATATATTCAGTTATAAATATGTATAAGAAGAAATATTGATACGAATGATCATCATCAATAAATTTGAATTTCTGTCAGTGAGGCGATGTTTGCCTTGGGAATTGGAAACTGTCTGGAGAGTAACCGAGCGAGTTTTATAAAATATAATAAAACTAGCGACTAACAGGCGACATGAGAATAGAAAGGACCGAAAAAAGTAACAATAAAAAGCATAACAATAAAACTTAAAAGTAAATAAGTCTGTGTGTATAAGTATATATGTATGGTGAGTCGTGGGGGAGAAATGCAGAGAGATATCAGGATGAGATGTCGCTTGATGGCTGCACAGGTAGTGAACCTTTCTTATACATTCATTCACAGGTAGCAGCAACCTTCTCTCCACCTGCCTTTCTCTCTTTAGCCTCCACAACACTGACAAATATACGGCCTCTGGCTACGCTTTTTACGTGCTCCATTGTCGTTCACCGATTGCAGCTCAGCCAAAAAAATATTGTACCTTTATGTACACGACAAGGCATTCGTTTGTCAATAACTCCGAGGGAAAATCTACAAATAAGGCTTTGGAAAGGCTAGTTAACCACAATATACAATCCGGATTTCAAATTCACTGAAAGAGATAAGAGATAATAGTTATAATTATAACAGTAATAATAATAGCTACGCATTTATGTATAAAATCATTATAAAAACGCAAGGACCTGGTTGTAGTTTCCCCCATTACATAATTCATAATTCAACCTCATGAATTATCGCTCTCAATTACTCCACATACTCAATACTCATAAAACTCATTAACTTACATACAATAAAATTTATTTAATACTTAATAAACAATTATATTGTTGCTTACCATAATTGAGCTGGCTTTTCTCAATTATCTGGCTTATCCACAAAAATATGTAGAGCACTGAATAAACTTGATAATTAATAATATTAAAGTTAGCCGACGTTTTTAATAATTAAATTAAAACAAAAAAATTACACTTATAGTTTTTAAAGTTTTTTACAAATGAAAAATTTTTTTTAGTAATTTTTTTAATTTTTAGATGTCGGCTAACTTTAAGCTGTGCTGGTTTTTAATTTTTTTTTTTTTATTTATCACGCCGCACTGATGTTTGTTATATATTATATATTTACAATTGTGAATTCATACAGTTCACAGTGTACCGTCAACGATCCGTATCTAATCAACGATCCAACAAACATTAATTCCAAAGATTGGTCACTGGATCCAACATAAACTCGTCCGAGCGTGATACCGGAATCTTTTTACGAGTATTGCCGCTGTGATAGATCAACCCCGACACATTACTTTTACTTCCTATTATCATAACACAATAAAAAAAATCATTACTGTCACTTACTGTTTTTAAAAGATACTTATTATTTAAAATAAAATACCACCTTATTTTTTCAGCTATTATTTTATTTATAATTATAGATTATGATTTAATATAAATCACTGGGATATAATTTATAAAATGTATCACTGGCTTATTGGATGATAGCTGGGGTTGATAGACTAGTTTTATAATGCACCGATTATATGTGGTGGTGTGGTCGCACACCGAGCTGATGATAAATAAATCGACTGAGGCTGAGGACTCGTCCAGACCCAGACGACACCACTTATTCGGTAATCATAATAACACTAACACAGAACCAGTCTCACTACCCAGTTAAGTGTAGTACTACCACCAGCAGTATCAGAATCAGTATCACTAGTATCACCACGGGCACAATTACGATAGAGGGCAATACTCCTTTATGTGTGTGTGTGTTATATATAATAATATATAATGTAAATAAATATCTACATACACAACACACTCGTATTGCTGCAATTCCTATCCGGAGAGAGACGAGAATCGAGACTGTCGTGCTACGACTGCTACGAGCCGTCACCTCCAATGCCTTTCTGCTCTGACACATTGCGCGCCTCTGAGTTTGAATCTGCCGCCGATAGGCGCGCCACTAGTTTTGAATTTTTCCGCGGTTTTTTATGGGATTTTTTGAATTAATTAAAAAAACTTTTCATTTTTAATTTTTTTCTTTTTTTTTTCATTATTGTTATTTTAAAAAGTTGATTTTTTTTTTAATTTAAAAATTAAATATTTTATTTTCTTGCTTATTGATAACAGCTGTTTTTTTTTTAATTAAATTACAAGTCAATAAAATAGTTAGAAAGTTAAAATAATGGGTTTGGGTGTTTATTTTAAATTTTATTAGTATTTAAATTAAAAATAATTAATTTTCGGAAGAAAGTTTTTGACAGAATATATTTTATGTGACTCTTCAGTTGTTTACTTTCACTTGTTTCCGGGAATCGTTACGTGTGACGAGCCAAACCTGTGGTTTATGTACCAAAAAATAAAAAAAATAAAGAATGGAATTTATGAATAAAATAGTTAGCATATTTAGTATTGCTTTGAGAAGATATATTTATCTAAAGGTTGCGTACAATCAGATTTTGGCACTTGGTTGTGTAGGAAAATAGAAGAGTTACATAATACAAGATTAGAATTTAGGAGTCTGCAAGCCAGATATCTGAAGTACAATCTCCACCTGGATATCTGTAAAAAAATATACTTAATAAATAAAATCAATTTATTTTTTTTTTAAATAAAAATTACCTCATTTCATGAGCAAGAAGAATATCATCTTTTTCTTCTCCAAAATCCACCAAAAAATCAGGGTCTAGCTTAAGTCCACCATTCTCAACGTCGACGTCAAGCTTCACCATAGTTGACCCATTTCTAAAATAAATATAAAGTATTAAATGTAAGTATTACAATTACTTTCGAAGAAAGTTAACAATTACTTGACATGGTCAGGATAAAATTGCTTATCCCAAGGCTTGAAAATAGAAGTAGTCACGTAGAGCCTCCGACCATCGAGACTCAGCTGAAGCATTTGAGGAGAGCCGTAGAGTCTGCGTCCTTTTACAACAACTGGATCAGGTTGACTCGACAGCTCTCGGTCTTCGATAACTCGGATCTTTGAGTCAGACAGTATCGAGCCGCCTAAGAATACTTGACCAACTAATCGAGGATTTTTCCGGTCTGAAATATCGTACTGCCTTACGTCACCGTGTAACCAGTTATTAAAGTACAAATATTTGTCGTCTAGGCTCAGCAGAATGTCGGTAATCATTCCTAAAAAATATATTACAAAGTATAATTTAAAAAAAGAATATCAAAATTAATTTAGTACATACATATTTGATAATTTTAATAATTTTTTTAACACATAAATTATGGCAAAAAAAATTGATATGTAGAAATTTTAAAAAATTAATTATTAGAATTAATTAATTAATTAATTAATGAAATTTGAATTCTTCTAACCAGATATTGTTGGACCCATCCATCCCTGGACTTTTTTTTCCGGAACATCAATAACTTTATCAGCAGCCCATTTACCATCATCGGTTTTATAAAACCTAAATATATTTGAAGAGACAGCACACCCAACAAACCCTTCACTTGCTAGCGGATCATGAAGAAATCTTACTTCTAGCGGTGCGATTCCTTCTTCACCTAGATCAATAACTTGCTCGAGGCTGTGTTTTGTCCAAGAATAAAAATTTAAATTTCTTCCATAAATATCTAAAAAAAAAAATGATAATAAATAAAATGCTTATCCAGGACTAGCGGAATAAATGTTAAATATGAAATATACCCGGATTAGAGCTCTGTCCAGGCCCGAATCCCTTTTTAAAAATCCTCGGGACTCCCCATTCAGTAGAGATAAGAACATCATGGCTTGGCTGGTACCAAAAGTCGTACCCAAACTTGGCCTTCCTGTCGCTCAAAGTCCAAGGACCTTTGACTTGGAGAGTCTCGCTGTCTACACACAAAAAATCGCCGAGGCCGTCGCCGTTGGGCTTCCCCATTGTTGATATGATTATTTCTCCCGTCGGAGAGCAGTGAGCGGTGTGCGGAGTCGCCAGGCCGTGTTTGTGCATCTCCTCAGGCTCAAGAACCTACGGAATAAGTGTGGGTACATACATATGTGTAGTAGATAAATGTAGAGGTACTGTAAACATCAACACGAGCGTACTACAGACTACTTGATTTGAATTTAAATGAAAACCACCTGAGTTTACAATGAATAAACGTACCTTCTTTATTGCAGGTGCACGAGCGTTGCTCGTATCAATGAAATAAACTCGATCAGACATCAGACACGGCAAAACAAATGTGTCTCGCTTTAATTTTGAGTCAGGACAGCTGCTACATATGTTCCAACCAGCATGATGGAGTTCATCACCCACATACGGCATTCTCAGCTTGTGTATTATCTGGAATATTTATTTTTATATTTATATGCAATATAAGGTTAACATTTTTACTGTAATTTTAAATAAATTTTTAATATTACTCAATATCAAAATTAAAATTTTTTAATTCTGGCTTTCTTATTGATTTTAAGAAAAAATTATAAGACATTTTTTTTTATAAAATAAAATTTTGAACTTGTTTGAAAAAAAAATTTTATAAGAGCAATATTTTAGCTAAAAAATCATGAGACATTTTGAGACATATCTTTGTTAAAAAATTATGAGACATTTTTTTAAAAATTAAATTTTGAACAACTGTTATATCAAAAATTTTTTAATACGACCAATATTTTCACTATAATTTCATAATTAGTGTTCATAATAAATGATTTAAATTTATGAAAATTAATTTAGCATTTATTTAATAACTTTAAAAAATTTATAGCAAATAAATTATGGCAAAAAAAAAAATTGACATCTAGAAATTTAAGAAACTAAAAAATGCAATTTTTTAAAATAATTTTTTGGAACAAAATTTTTTAATAAATAAAATTAAAAAATTGTTGAGTGACTGCTAACTAATGTCATTTAAAATTTTTGATAATTATCAAAATTAAAATTAAAAAACTCCGGCTCTCTTATTGTTATTAAGAAAAACTGATGACATTTTTTTTTTCTAAAATAAAATTTTGAATAACTTTTATTTAAAAATAAATTTTATAGGACCAATATTTTTGCCATAATAACAAAAATTTGAACCATTCATTTATTATTTTGAGTTTGTAGAAAAAAATCTTGACATTGGTAATGTACGATATGAATACGTAATTCATCAAATATGAATTAATTAAATACCTGACAGTAAGTAGGACTCGTCGGATCTACGTCAACTGTTGACAAAACATCAGGTTTATTATCATCAGTGCTGATACAAACTACATACATTATTTTTTCCCTCGGTCCTGCCATAGCTTCTTTTGGGCTTCTGTAGCCCGGTCCGCATTTTTTGCAATCTAAAAAAAAAATAATTAATCACTATTCAATTATAAAATAAAATAAAAATGTAAATGGAATACCTTTAGCTGTTGCCATGCTGCGAATTAAGCGAGCGAGTTATTACTGATGTATGTGTTCATAAATGGAAAAATTCACATCAACGTATCTGTTGATAGTATGAATACTCACATTAGCAAGCGATATGCATTTGTGAGAGTACATAGCTCGAGGCACTGAGATAACCACGAGACAGATATGTATTTTATTTAATTTATATTTAATAATCTTGGCCCCTTTTTCTACAGTTTTATAAACTTGTGATTTAATATTTAAAATGTATAATTTTATAAACTTGAGATAAAATATTGATTAGATAATTTAAAATTTTATTTCAATTCTTGATAGTGATTGTTCAATAGCTTGTATAAAATATTAAGACATTTATTTATTTTTCAATTCCGATTATTATGAAAGTACTTTCAGTAAATGGTCCAATTGATTGTCGCTTCTATAACTAATAACTAATTTCTAATAATTAACTGTGAGTTTTTTTTAGAATCAGTTGATTGTGAGAGAGTAGTTGAATTGGCCATTAAAAGCTTTAGTTCCTTTAATTTAGCTTGCTGATTATTATTGTAAGGAAAGTAATTAAGATGTAATTCAATTAACTTTTTAAATTGCTCTTTGGCAAGCTCTGTCCTGTTATTAATTACATCCAATCCGGCGTCTAATTTATCAAGGCTACGACTTACGTTCATTATCATCCGAAGAATACGTTCATTTTTTTTAGCCTTGCCAACAAAGTTAACTAACAGAGCACATACTGTGAAAATTAACACAATAAAAAGAGATTTTTGTAAAAAACCCACCATAATCCTAGACAATTTACCAACTGACTAATTAAAAAATAATTCTCTTCATTTTATTTTAAATAATTTTCACAATTAAATAAAAGCGTTGAAAAATAGCAAGAATTCAAGTTACACCCACGCAATTAGCTTTAAATATTACAAGTGTCGTTCTTAATCTAGAAACGATACTTATTCTTAACGTTCCACTGATTTCCCACATGTTCAGTTACTAGGTAAGAGTCGATGACTCGTAGCACTTGAGGAAACGATAGATAAATCATCAATTACGAGGATCATTGAATCTCCGATATTGGTATTAGCAAACATCTTTTTTTATAGTAGGCTCGTTTATTAGAGATTAGACGAGATATTAAATTTAAAAATAAAATATAACTCGTTGGCTCAGTTGCTGACTGACCGAGTGTACTTTAACTGGTCATCCACGTGTGACTGCGTAGGTGAGAATGTCTGGGTTAATTTACACCCTCTGTCATACTTGTGTGTTCTCTGCATATAATATCTCTCGCATGCTTTCGCTCCGAATCAATAAACGCTGTAACAAAATCTCTCCTGCGCTATCTCTCGGGATAATCAGGATTTGAGATTAAATGTATTTTAGGTTTATGATTATTCAAATGTAATCATTAAAATATTTTTTTTCAATATCAATATCTATAGGTAATAAATAATAATCTATGTTATTAAGAAATGACCTTGTATCTCGTGAACTATTGACATTTTTAAAGATATAAGCTCATCCTGATGCTACTCTCATCAAGAGCTTTCATTTGAGTACCCACATCTATTTTTCATATATATATATATAAATATATGAAAAATATATAAGAATGCATGTGGGTATTCAAATGAAAGCTTTTGATAAGTGTAACATCGGGATGAGCTTATAATGATAAAAACGTCAATATTTAAGAAAGTACAGGGCATTTTAACAAATATCTTATGAACCATTACCATTTTTAAAGATATAAGCTCACTCCGACATTACACTCATCGAGACATTTCATTTGATTAGCCACACCAATTTTTTCATATATTTTATATATTTATATATATGTATATATGAAAAATATATGAAAATGCATGTGGGTACTCAAATGAAAGCTCTTAATGAGTGTAACATCGGGATGAGCTTATATCTTTAAAAACATCAATATTTAAGAAAGTACAGTGCAATTTAACAAGTCATTATTTAATAAAGCAAAATTTTATTTATTTATAGTTCACAAATCCTGGCAGTCACATAGTGACTGCAAGGTTGCTAGTTTATAATAATAAATTTTGATGAAAATTCATGAAAAAATCATGGTAAAAATGTTTATATAAAGTATCAATGAAAATTATTTCAGCAATATTTTTTTGACCTATTAATTCAATACTGATCAGGTATTAATATACGTTTTTTAACATATTGTCATTTTTCATTACTTTATTTTACATAAAGATAATGATCACTGGTGTAGGTGTCGAATAGTATAAAAATTATAATATCCAAAATAAAATATTGAAGAAGGCAATTTTAGCTGACTGTTGCGGGCAACAAAGTAGCTCTCACCTCGTTGAGCTCGTGGTAATTCGTGTGGGTTGTTCGGTGAGTCAATTCGACACTTGAATTTGAGGAAGCTTCACATGAGAGCTCTCGTCTTATCGTCCCGGATAAAGGTCGCGAGGTTTTGTCTGCAAATTATGGACAATTAAAATTAACTCAGCATAATAGTCTGAGCGAGGGTAACTTCAATTAAATTATTTAATTTACCTTGACTGCGATACAGTAAGTACGACAATTCTTCTTGAGTGGAGACATGCTGAAAATCTTCACCACAAGCTCCTCGAAGGACGGCAACAACATCTGACCGGGGATTGAAGAAATAAAGGCCCTGCTTTCGGGTATTAAATTCCCCGATTAATGCAGCAATTCCTTTTGCAGCTGTAAAGTCTGCTCCTAATACGTATCTGCAATCGACGACCACTGGCAATTGACTCGAACCCTCCCGTATTCCTGCATGATCCACGAATTGTTTTATAAAGTCTACTGCAGGAAAGTAGAGACTGTTGCCAGGTATCACCAGGAGATAATCCGTTCCAGAGTCGGTCTTTTAAAATTATAGTTTTTAAATTATTGCCATTAATATTATCATTATCAGCAATTAAGAAAGTAATTATTGTTAACTTACGACGCATTTCTCTACATGAATAGTTGGACGAGCTGATGGGTACAGTAAAAACATAAGATTTATTCCTACGCCAACTAAAATTCCATACTCAACTCCAATAACAAGACAAAGGAAGAAAGTTGCAAACATTGGGATCAAATCTTTTTTGCTTGACTTCCACATAAGTTTCACTACTTCGTATTCAATCATGTATATCACTGCAGAAATAATTACTGCTGCTAAGGACGCTGTGATAAAAAATTTTAAGTTATTATTTATATTTTTTATTAATTATTAATTATAAATTTATAATTTTAATTATCTATATTATTGAAAGAATAAGAAAAATTTTGTGTCATATCTCTAGATACATAATTGAGAAATGACCTTGTATCTTGTCAAATAATGACATTTTTAAAGATATAAGCTCATCCCGATGTTATACTCATCGAGACCTTTCATTTGAGTACCCACATCAATTTTTTCATATATATATATATATATATATATATATATATATATATATATGTATATATGAAAAATGCATGTGGGTACTCGAATGAAAGGTCTCGATGAGAGTAACATCGAAATGAGTTTATATCTTAAAAAATATCAATAGTTCATAAGATATTTGTTAAAATCCCCTGTACTTTCTTAAATATTGACGTTTTTATAGATAAGAATAGAACAAACCTTTGGGAATAAAATAAAAGTACGGAGTTAGTAGACTGAGGGCTAAAATAATTAAAAGACCAGTATAAAGCCCAGCCATTGGAGTTTTAACACCACTGGCATGGTTAACAGCGGACCTGCTGAAAGAACCAGTGACCGGCATAGCGCTAGCACATGATCCCAAAACATTGCACAAGCCAAGAGTCAAGAGTTCTTGAGTTGCGTCGACACTAGCTCCATTAGCAAAGGCTTTCGCGATGGCTACGTTTCCAAGGACGCCAATTATAGGCACGAGAAATATCGCCGGACCCAATTCAGTGCACATGTCGATGAAATTTAAATTTTGGTCATTCATCCGTGTTGAGAACGGAGGCAAGCTGAAGGACGGCAGGCCTGATTTCACAGGTCCAGTGAGGACAAACGGAGAACCAGATTCTGTTGAATTCATTTTGTAAGCTATTGTTGAACAAATAACAACTACAATAGCATTCCTAGCTGTTGATACCAGCCAGATTACTTTCGCGAGAATCTTTCTTTCTTTTGACGGTTTTTCCACTCTTGAGCACCATTTTATGTCTTTCATTTTCTAAAAATTAATTCATAAAATTATTCATTCAAAAAAAAATCATACCAAGGTATTTCATCAGACTCACTCTTAAGAGCACGAGAAAAAATATGCAAATGAAACTCATCCCAGCGTCCCACGGGTTGGTGTCTCCAATATTGCTAAATACTTTATGGAGAGTATCGATGAATCCAGAAGACGTGATTTTTAATCCAAGAATTCCTTTTAATTGAGACGCGACTATGATAACTGAAGTCGCAGATGTAAAGCCCACTGTCACGGGGATCGATATGAAATCAATCAAGACATCTGGAAGTATATGGACGTAAATTAAAGCAAGTTTAAATAAATATTGTTAGATATAATTATTTCATACCTACCCAGATGAAGACACGCCATCACTAACTGAATACATCCAGCTAAAAATGCCAAGAGCACTGCAAAGTCAGCACTCTTTCCTTGGACATACTCGTGGGTCATAATAGCCATCAACGCGGTCGGTCCTATTGTGATGTCCTTGCAAGACCCGAAGATGACATAAACTATTGCTCCCATGAACGCTGAATATAATCCATACTAAGAAAAAAAAAATTAAATTTAACAATTTTGACGTTGATGTACTTTAAAATTTTTTTTTGTAAATTTTACCTGAGGTTCCAGTCCTGCTAAAGTAGCATAAGCCAATCCTTGAGGCATGACAGTAAGCCCGACAGTTATCCCAGCAATAGCGTCGCTTACGGCTTTCTCAGAGTCATACTTGGGCAACCAAGACAGTATTGGTACACGTTTGAATAAAAAGTTCTTTAATTTTTCCCGGTTCATCTTTGGCTGATCTTCGAGTTTGTGAGTAGTAGCAAGTACCATGGTAATTTGTCAATTATATTAATTTGATTGGATTCAATCTTGTCGACGACTGCGCTGTCGCCTGGTTATTGTTTATTATTGTTATGATAGTTATTGGAGAGTTAAAAAGATGAACCAGACAATGGTGAGTCTTTATTTTGTTGGCAATTTCAGTGGACCAAACTATCAAAGGCTATTTTAATCTGTTGCGCTCGCGCCATAAAACGCACTGAAAGCTCTGCAAGACGTACATCGTCATCTTATATACTTCTAGACAGTATCATACAATTCAGGGTAACTCAGCCACGAAAAGATGACGACAAAAAATCTAGCAGCCTTCAAGCTCACCACACCGTTTTTTTGTTCCTCTTCTTCACAATAGCTCTGAAACACAAAATAAAACAATTACATTATTTACCAATAAGTTATTTATACTGCAATATAAATACGTAAGTTAATTTATCGTCCAGTAGGCTGTAATTTTCTTTAAGCAGGTGATAATTATCAAATAGACGATATAATACGGGATAGTAAACTTTGACGAGAAACGAGATCCGGCTCGTCAGGTGTCGTCGATCGGGTCATTGATCCAAAAAATCTGATACATTCCAATCAACCTGACCTGGATACGAGTCTCGTTACATCCATTTACTTATACTTGGCATGCTAATGATAATAACCAATGACAATTTAATGTCATTTAATTACATCTTCCTACTTTTTTATTATTTATTTTCCTTAAATATTTTTTTGGTTTCACCAATAAGTGGGACAAACTTTTAATAAATCATTTTTTTTTTGTTAATAATTATCATTCTTCATCATTGTTTACGTTGTTAAACATTAAATTAAATCTTGTGTAATAAAATAAAATTTTATGTGAAAAACCTTCGATTGTTTTCACCGTTTTATATTTATTGCATAACTCGAAATAAATTTCACATTAGTAAGGTCACGTCTTACTACCACTGGGTCTTTATACACTTAAACTTTATTCTATTTAAGTTGATCAATAAAAATTTTAAGTAAACATTTGTTTAAGTTTTTAAAACTCCAGCTGGGATCTAAAATAATAAAAGAAAAATTTATTAGATATTATTTTATAAATTAATAAAAATAAAATTTACAATATTTATATTTATTGGATATATATAACAACCGGTTTTTTATCGGAAAAAAGTATTTATCATACGAACCCAAGCACGACTGGCAATTAAATTGTTTTACAGAAGAACATACTGAGTCTTACCTAAAGAATGTACGTGTAATGATACTTTAATTTATTTAGTTGTATTGTTATATATTAATATACTTACTTATTAATGTATTGTAGAGTAGTTACAAGTTACATAGCCGTTTTATTTAGCGGGAATTTCTCGGTTAAAGTTTACTGAACCAGAGATCAGATTTAATATGAACCACAATTACAATAACATCGACGTAAACATACAAGGGATGAATCGTAGTGTGTTGTCATGTGGACGACGGCGATCACGATCACTATGGAATGTCTCACTCGATCCCTTACCATTTTCAAGCCGTGTGGTTATGCTCGCGTGTCGGTGTTGTTGATATGTGAGAGCGAGGTAGTTGACATTTGTCTGAGTAGACTAGCACATGTACCAACATGCAGGCATCCTGACATTCCTGACACACAACCTTCTCTATCTTTTCAGTTCAGCTCCAATGCAATACTACTGTGTGTTTATTATTACATATACCTTTATAAACTTATAAATCAACACTGTAGAGTTTTAATGTGTGTAATGCAGGCGAATTTTCACAGCGCAAAAACATTTTCACTATTTTTTTCAATTTTAGCACTGAAAAATTTTAATTAACTTTTTTTTTTTTAATAAATTTTTGTTCTAAATTATAAAAAATTACAATTTTTATTTCAACTTGATTTAATATCATATTTTTTAAATGATAAATTTATACACTGAAGTTAACTGACGTTAGAAATTTTTTTATAATTTTATAACAATTAAATTATTATTAAAAAAATTCCAGGGATGACAATTAAAAAAAATAATCTTTGGAAATTTTTTAAAGAATTTTTTTTATTGTTAATAATTTGTTATAATAATTTAAAAAATTGACAGCTGTCAGCTAACTTCAGTATCATAAATTTACAATTTTAAAATTCTCCCGGGAAAAGTAAGGACCTCTGACGGCGGTAAAAGGAACTAAAGCAAAAGTGCGCGATTGGTCGATAAATTTGTGACGTCAAAAAAAAAAAAAGTATAAATAATGTGCACACAATGTATATAGCTATATTTATTTACTAAAATTGTTTACTACTTTAGGCCTGTCAAGTTATTTATTTAAATTTTAATTAGTTAGATAGAAAAAAATAGTTATTTAGATAGGAAGAAATGACAACGATGGATTCGGAGGAAGGTTATGATTTTTTTGGGCTTGTCAACGACTTGTGTCAGTCAATGATAAATAAATGTGATGAAAAAAGTCTTCGCGGACGTAATTCAGTGCTAATTTCCAATAAATTACGTTCGATTGCTTTTGAAATTTTGCTTAAAAAACACCCCGAGTCTTGTGATGTCAATGGTAAGTAACTTCAATTTTTTATTATTTTCAATAATTAACTACTGAATTATTTTTCAGATACTCATGAAAACGAATCTGCTGATCCAGTTGTTGAGTTGTTGAAATATTCTTTTGTATTAAAAACTACCCTAGGATTGTCTTCCAAAGCTGAGAAATTAGAGACTGCGTTAGACAGATTGTTGAGTGAAAACACCGAGCCGTCATTTAAATCCATACTTTTCTTCTTAAACTGTTTACAAAGTTACCAATCTCATGACAAGGATGACCTGGTAATTAATTTATTATATAATTTTTTTATTGTCAATTAATTTGATTAATTATTTTTCAGGAGGTATTTCATTTTGAAGACAGAGTCCCTTCATCGTCAGACAGTCAAAGTAATGAAGTACCACATTACCAAATTTACCCGCTATCAGCATTCATGTTACCACAAAAAATGGACCGGTTGATTGATATAAATAATCATGAATTTACACAAGTTAATATCACCGCTCCAATAAGTTTTTCTTCGCAACTTCAAATTGAAATCGCTAAAAATGGTAAAAAAAAATTATTAATAATAATTTTGGTAACTATTTACAAGTCGAATCCACTATTTTTATTTTAATTTTTTTTTTTAACGAAATTTCTATTTTATTTTATTGATAAATATATTTTTTTTTAAATATATAAAAAAACGAGCAATTAAAAAAAAAAAAAGTTAATCATCACAATTTTAATAAATTTTACAAATTTTCAAAATAATTTATAAATTTTTCACCTAGATATGGTCAAAAATATGGTTTACCCCACTTATAAATAATTAATAAAATTTTAATTAGCTCTTATATTAATTAAAAATATTTTATTGTAGAATCTAAATCGTCTCTATATACCCTCGACACTGTAGTAAGTATATTTAAAAATTTTTCTAAAAATAATTTATAAATAAATTAATTAAAAAAATAAATTATAATTTAGAAGTCTGCGGGGCGAATAGAAGAAGACTGTAACTTTAATTACGAAGAAACAGCGTTAGAATCGCTCTGGAAACACGAAAACTACGACTCTCTAAGTCTAGGATCTCTGAGATCATCTTCACCGTCTTTAGAATCAATAGATCTATCATTTGAAATCTATGAAGACGCCGATAGTTATTCCTGGGAAACTCTAGGATGTGCCAAGCCTCCCAAGCAGCGTGTTTTTGCCCTAGAGTCAGACGCAGCGATCCAGCACCTTCAAAACCTGCGAAATCTCTCAATAAATTTAAGCGAGAGCGAAACCTTTTCCAGCAGAATTATTGTCATAAGTATGAAAGAGTTTATGGAAAACATAAGGTTGGTTCTACTGGGCATTGATTCAAATTGTTTTATATGGGACGATAAAATAGGATTTTTCTTCAACGTAAACACCCAAGTCACCGGATTGAGTAAGGAAGCTCTGGAGAGTATCTCCACGGAGATAACTCACTGGGCAACTTGTTTTAAGCTTCTTATGCTGCTAGTACGGCCTCATTCTGACACTGGAAGGTACAAGCACGACGGGTTGATTTTCCACGCGATGTGTAACAGCGTCAATGATGTGCTAATTCATTATCAAGCTTCTGTTTTGCAGATTTTTAGCGATGAGTCTATTAGATTGATTGATTTGTTGAATCGTTTGCGTTATGTTGGCTGTTCAATTAGCGAAGTTGCGCGACTTTGTCGCTGTGAAAATGTTATTCAAACGACCTTGGCTGAAGGTACGGGCATTCTTACTCATATTTATGATGAAGTTACCAAAATAACTAAACCCGATATTTCTCTGGTGTTTTATTCAGTATTAAAGTCTTGCTGTGAAGTTTATTTTGAGCTGATGGAAAATTGGATATTTGAGGGAATTTTTGATGAAAATTACGGAGAATTTATGATATTTGTCCGTGAAAAATATATCCGTAATCGCGGGCATAAATTTTGGACAAAGTGTTTTGGTATTAGCAAAGAATTAGTCCCAGGATTTTTGATAAATCTTACAGATTCTATTTTACAGTGCGGCAAAGCTGTGAGATTGTTAAAAATCTGCGACCCTAAAAACCCGCTATGCAATTTTTTCCTGACTGCCAGGCCTAAAGTAAAAGTATGCTTGAGTGTCAATATGTTGGCTGAGCAAGAGGAAATATGCCAGCGCTACATGAACAAAGGTATGGAGATACTAGGCCCCAATATAACTCTAGCTTCGTCTTTGAAGGAGCTCAAGACAATTGATAAGGACAAAGCCGAGCATGTGATAGCCGCTCAACAAGAGACGCTGTTGAGAATAAAGAAGAGCCAAGAGGAAGCTAAACTATTGATTGTCAAGAACAAGCGCGAGCTCTTTGCAGATCAAAAGAAGCAAGTTGAAGACGCTGTTTCTCGGAGAGAAAAAGCCAGAGAAGCTGATTTGTTGGAGGATAAATTATTGAGAGAAATACAAATCGTCGAGGAAGAAAAAGCTGAGAATCAGCGACTCGCTGATATCAAGATTACTTTGGAGTATTATAAGGACTTGGCTGAGGAAGCTGAGAAACAACGGCTGAGAGCCTCTTGGAGGAGTCGGAGGATGGAATTGTTTGATGAACGTGTCAGTGCTATTGTTCTTGCCCGGCAAGAGGATATTACTCCCATTGAGGAAGCTGATAAGACTTTCAGTAGTTCTCAAGACCAATTGCAGACAGCTGACAGTAATGTTTCTAATTTAAATTCTTTAGATAATTTTTTGAATGATGATAAAGTTTCAGAAGTCAATGATGAGAATTGCAATGAAACAAAATTAGTGTCAGAAAATAATCAGATCGCTAAATCTGAAGAAACAACTCGCGTAAGTCGGCCTACTGTCCTCGAGGTAATTTCTAATAAAGATGATACTAAGATAGAGTCAATTATTGATGAGATTACAGGTAACCGTTCATTTAAACGCACAAAATTTTCTTTCAATACCAACACTACAATAAATAATGATATTAATGCACAAACTACTCTAGCTAATGATAATATAAATATTACTTTTATTGACAATGAAGGTAATGAAAGTAAATTAGAGGTTAATCTTGATAATGACAATAATAAGCCTGATGAAAAGTCGGGGCTGGTAAAAAATTTAACTGAAGAAAATAATGTCGTAGATGCTCCGAATTATTCGAATAATACCAACGAAATAAATGACGCAACTCCGATGTCCTGTACGACAGACAGTTACGTTCCATCAGCGATGAGTAATTCTATTTTGTACAATTGCACGGAAGCTGGCTCTATTGCAGAGTCCAAGAATGACTTTGAGACACCAACGACACCCGGTGATTGCTTGCCGAGAAGTGTTGATAAGCAGGAGTACTCTATGCACAATATTTTTTCACGATCAAGCAGTCAGTTTTTCAGCACAGGTGCTATGAGCACACCACCGGCGTTTGAGTCGTCTTTAACACAAGCTGATGTTGAGATGATTGATAATACCAGTCTGCAAGTGTACTTGGAAAAGTCGGTTCTGATCCCACTGAGAGTTCAAAGCTGGCTTGCTAATTCCGCGATTGTTAAATGTCTTTTGCATGATCACAAAATATTATCACACTTGCACAGTCTCAGGAGTTTCTTCTTTCTTTTGAACGGAGAGTTCGCCAAGAATCTCACCGGGCCGCTTTACACTAAATTTCACCAAGCCACCTCGCCGGACAAGCTCTTTAATTCAGCTACTTTGACGAGCTTGTTGAAAAATGCTTTGCATTTTTCTTTGAACAATTCTTATAAAAATTCAGAGCTCTTGAGCTTGACTGTGATGACCCAGCCCACCAGTATGAAGGTAAGTAATTGTTATTCCTCTATAAAGTCTTAAATATTCATTTTTAATTGGAGTTATTATTCCGCAGCTACTTGATCCGGAAGCTTTAGACTGCCTTTGTCTTCATTACAAAGTTTCATGGCCGCTGAATATTATTTTAGACGAAGCGGTGATGTATCAGTACGGAAGGGTCTTTAGGTTTTTAATAATGGTCGGTCGGGTGCTTTGGGTACTTCAAGACGATTTTTGCATACTTAAAACTCAGCGCAAAGCGACTTTGTCTTACCAATATCACCGGGTACTTTATTATACTTTGACTAAAATTATTTAAAGAGTTTTTAATATTTATTTTAATGATACTGAATTTAACAGACACTTAAAAATTTTTTATAACAATTAAATTATAATGAAAAAAATTTAGCAAAAAAATTCTACTTTCAGAAATTAAAAAAAATTATAATTAAAAATTTTTTATATTAATTGATTGGTTATAAAAATTCAAAGAATTTTTAGATCTCTGCTAATTTTAGTATCATTAATTATAATTTTATTTATTTTTTTATAATAGTTGCAGTTATTCCGACATGCGATGATGCAGTTCATGACAGCTCTCCATGGTTATTTAACTTGCAGTGTTTTGCATTCAAGTTGCACCGAGTTTGAAAAAGAACTCGAGAATGCTATGACTCTTGATCAGATTTACAGCATTCACGTTCGCTATATTAAAAAAATTCTCTCAAGGTATTAAATTTTAATCAATATTAATATCTTAATTTAAATATTTAATAAAAATAATTTTATAGATGCATGATGACAAGACGAGGAGAAAAATTACGAAAGTGTCTTTGCAACATGTTCCAAATAATATTAAAATTCCACAACACCCTAAGAACTCACGAGTGGACTGAAACGCCTCAGGGTTATACACACCCGAGCTTCAACAAGTTAGAACAATATTACAAAGCATTCTGCACCATGAGGTCATTCCCCGCGCAAGTAGTCGACAAATACTCAAACAGCGGCTACGATTTACACCTTACTCGCTTTGTTGACGCTCTTAACATAAATCCTCTCTTCAGTCTTTAAATTAAAAGTACTAAATTTCTAAGTTATATTCGCATTTATTATAAATACGGTATAACAAAAATTACAAAATTAAATAACATTTTTAAATTTATAATTTACCACGTGCGTTATAAAGTTTTTAACTTTATTCAATGTTAATCCGAATCTCGTATTGCTGATCGAGCCCCAGGTAACAATCAGACATCAAGTAAAAAAAGACTCTTGTTTGTCCTGAAATAAATAAAACTGTGATGTTAAATTATATTTCTTTACTAACTATTACTATTATTAATGTTAATTAATGTAAATAAAATAAAAAAAAAAAAAATAACCTGGAAATTCTGGAGCAGTAAATTGTAACTGATGAGTCTTAGCATAAGTTTGAATACTAGGTATCCTTTTCAGAGCCCAGAGTTCATTATTCTCCGCATCTCCCAGGACAGCAAACCACCCTTCATCTTTACTCTTGTGGAAAGTCGTATTAAAAGATTTAATATTCCCCGGACTATTTCTTCTCTTTATTTCAATTAAAAGCGTGTAAACATGATTCACTTGAATATTAATACAGTCATTATTATTGATCCTTTTATCAATAATTTTGATTCCATCAGTCTCATCGGTTAATTGGATCCTAAGTTGTACATCAACAACTGGAAGAGTTTTCGCAACTTGATGAATGTCGCGAATTTCAGAGTCTGAAAATTTCTTGCTGAAAATTCTGGATAGTCGTGAATAATTTTGCGCGTAGGCACAGAATCCTGGCAGAGATTTAGGCAGTCTGTCGAAGAGAGACAAATCTTCTCTGTGAATGTGCGGGAGAATTGTGAGAGCTGACTCATCGATCCAACGAGCTCTGATGATCATCTGCATTAATTGAATTAACCGCAGTGTGCTCACGAGCCAGCCGTTTTCTGCTACAATGTCGATCATAGCCTGGAGGATTCTTATCGCTTGGTCTAAAATAGACTTCAAGTCAGTCGTGTAGTCAGTCGACGGCAAAGGAAGTCTGGAAAAATGCGCCTGGAAAAGAAGGAACGCTTTTGTGTTCGGAGAATCGAAAGTCAGCTTTTCACCCGGGTAGCGACAAGACTTGGACAATTCTTCGTTTAACAAGTCCTCGTTGTGTCTAACTGGCAACTCTGAGTACTCGTGAGCGTCACATAATATTTTGAGACACTCTACAAGAGTAAGATTGTCTTTCATCGCTGTGTTGAACATTCCTACTGTTTGGTGCGACAAATAATAAAACGAAGCAATTTTTCCCTGAGCCAGAGCGTAGACTGACTGAAGTTCTTCATCAAAAGCCACGCACTGACAATTTATCAACACTTTTAGTGTACAGTCGACCAAGGTTGATAAAAAAGCATTCACATCTGAGGTTTCCAAGCTCTCTAAGTTGTAATAGCGGGGGTTTTTCATCAACCGACGGAAGAAGTAAGTCCAGGTGAGGTAGTCGAGGAACTGCTGCTTGGTTTCTATTGTCCCGGCTACGATCTCTGCATTTATGTGGTCCGGAAGTACTTCCAGAAGGTTAGACTCCACTGGGAATGGCTCGTAGAGGAATTTCTTGTAGAAATTCTTTTTTATGTCGTGAACTAGGACCACAGCTACTCCGGAGTCGTCGAATTGAGGACGGCCAGCTCGGCCCATCATTTGGAGGACGTCTGTTATTGGCATGTCCACGTAGCGCTTTACTTTGCCGTCGTAGTACTCTGTTCCTTTTATTACTACCAAGTGAGCGGGAAAATTTACACCCCAGGCGAGGGTCGCTGTGGTTATTAGTACCTAAACAAATAAATTTTTAGTAAAATTAATAAAAAAAAAATTTTAAATAAAAGTTAACAATTTAATTTTATCAAAAAAAGAAAATCATTATTTTTTCTTAAAGCCAATAAAAAAAAAGCCGCAATTTTATAATTAAGATTTTTATAATTAAAAAAAAATTGAATATAATTTATTATGAACATTATTTAATTTATGTAAAAAAATTATAAAAGAAATTTTTTGTAGAAAATTAAATTTTCTTTTTTATAAATATTTTTTTTTACAAGACAAAAATTTTTTATAAAATTCAATAATTACTCAAAATCTTACCTGTATTTTATTATTAACAAACAATTCTTCAACAGTCTCCCGATCTTTATCCTGAAGCCCAGCATGATGAAGCCCAATGCCAAAAGCAAGAGTCAATTTCAAATTAACATCCTTGATATTCGCCAGAATATTTTCCATTTGTTCCTCCGGCATGTGCAACCACTGTTTAGGATTATCTTCAGCAGCCAAATAAGCAATCAAATCTAATGCAGTCAACCTAGTTTGCCTTCTTGAAGAAACAAACACCAACGACGGGCTAGAAGGAGCGTGCTGTCTAATAGCCTGGAATGTCGGACGGTTCATAGTGGCCATTCTCGGACAGTAGTGCTTACCCGGGAACCCGCTGATGTGGACTTCCAGAGGCACTGGTCTTACAGAAGGACGGAAATTATACAGACCCGTTTTTTTTATCCCCAGCCAGTTGGCAAGATCCACTGCATTAGCCAGCGCGGTGGACAATCCAATGATTCTCAACGTTCTCTTGGTATGAGAAGCGATAAAATTCGTCCTAGAAACAATGACCTCCAGCACAGGACCTCTATCTTCTCCCAGGAGATGAATCTCATCAATAATAATCAAAACCACCTCTTTAACATAGTTCCTCGTCTGCCAGCTACGACTGATTCCGTCCCACTTTTCCGGAGTGGTAACAATGACATCAGCCTGGGCAATCTGCCGAATATCCGGAGAGACATCTCCAGTCAGCTCACAAACTTTCTTTCCTAGCTTCTGCTCCAGCCTGACCTTCCAATCGCGCATTCTTTCTCTGACCAGAGCTTTAAGCGGCGCAATGTAGACGACTTTCTGTTTGGGATACTTTTTAAAAACTCTGAACATGGCAATCTCAGCTGCGATAGTCTTGCCCGACCCCGTGGGAGCTCCAAGAAGAACATTGCTGTCAGTATGATAAAGACAGTGAAAAATTTGCGTCTGGATCGGATTAAAGTGCGTAAATTTGTACAAACTCTGGAACAGCTCGTCTTTAAGGACAGTTATCGGGAGCGGTTGGAGCTCCAGTAGGTCTGTGTGAGGAGGATAAATCTCCGGAAGGACCAAATTATGTAAACCTAAAGATAAAACAGACTCACAGCCGATCCAGCGGTCGCTGGTCGCTTTTATTAAATACTGAGCTGGATGCGGCTCTTGCAGCGGAATAGTCATCACCAATTCCTGCTCGTCTCCGCTGTAGACCATTTTTTTGGTCATAAGAAAATACTCGTGGTGGTAAATAAAATTGCTGTCTGTATCTTCAATCCAAATCCAGAAAGCTTCAGAGCTTTTTCCATGAACGTGGTCGTTCCACCTAAACTCCGGGACGATTCTTAGCCTAATTCTCAGCACAGTTCTGGTAATTGGTTGGATATTTGCGTACATATTTAAACTAGGGAACTCGCTGCAGCACTTTTTAACCAAATCAGCGGACTTTTGGTTCCTCAGCAAGTCTCCGATCTCACGAACAGGCATCTCTTTTAGCTTATCAATCGTCAGGCCACGATTAGTTATCTTCTCTATGATCTCGTGGCCTAGACAGAAGAACTGCTTCAAGGGAGTTATGTGGTCCCACTGCTGAGCTTCGAGCATTTTAGCTAAATTTAATAATCTTCCAGCCATTATGGCGTTGTTTTGTCTCAGCATTACTTCAAACAACGCCCGACTAATACGTATAGCATTCTGAATAATGTAAGCCTGATCCGAAATCAGAGAAAAAGAAGACAACTTCCCACGAGATAAATAAGTCTGAACGAGAATATTAACCTTCCCATGGACATTCTCAGTCCCGCCGTGAGCCACCAGCTCACAGTAATCCTTAGTCAAGTCATCCAGCTCGTCCATTTCATCATCTCTGACCTTCAACTGTTCAAACTCCTGCGCCCTTGAAAGCATCCCCAGAATATCAGCTTCAGTCATAATCGGCTTGTACAACTCATTAAAAATCTCAACTGTGTCATACTTCAGATAAAAATGACTAGCAGTACGACCCAGGTCGGTAGAATTAAGATCTCCAGTCCGTACATTGTACCTGATCATCCTGGCCTTGTCCAGTGCTTTGGCAGCGGTATCAATCAGCTCCTTCCTCTTGGTATCTAAATTGGGATCTTCAACAACCTGCTGATAAAGCATCCCGTAAGCCATGGGGTTAAGCCTCATTCTCACGTACAAATACGTGTAGCTCAACCACTCTACCGCTTCCTCAACATTGGAGATAGTACCCAGAGCTATCTCAGCGTTCAAATTGTCCGCGAGGTAAGTTACAAAGCTGCTTTCAATCGGGAACTGATTTGTCAGCAGGGAAAGATAGTGCAACAATTTATTGTGCGTTGTAATTATAACAGCGTGTCCAGAAGTGTCGAATTGCGGGCGTCCAGCTCTTCCAAAAATCTGGAGCACGTCCAAGATTCCCAGGTCGATAAAAGACCCGTGCTTTGAATCATAAATCTCCGTTCCCCGGATAATAACAGCGTGAGCTGGTAGATTGACTCCCCAAGCCAGAGTCGAGGTGCAAACTAGCACTTTAATCACTCCCTGGCCGAAAGCTTTCTCCACTAAATTCCTGTCAGACCTGAGCATCCCCGCGTGATGAACAGAGAACCCGTAGGCAAACAGCTCACCTAGATATTTATTCCTAGAATTATTAAACGAGCGTTGAGACAGCTTAGCGTTGCTTGGATCCGGCGGCCTGAAGACATTGATAGTGTCATTAGTCTGCGCCAGCTCCTTTAATTTATTCGCTGTGCGAATAGTTGCATTGCGAGCATGCACAAAGACCATAACTTGGTGTCCCTTCTTCACCATATCAACCACTTGATTATAACAAACTAAATCCATATCATGGATCTGCTGGATAGCTTGTCTGGCTTTGACTCCAATGAACGTCTGACTCAAAGGAACTGGTCTGAAGCGATGATCAAAGTAAAACAACCCTTTATAAGGATTTACTCTGAGGAACCTCGCGACGTCCACATAATTAGGCAGCGTCGCGGAGAGACCGACAATTCTTATCATACTCTGCGAAGACTCGACTTGTCTGAGTGTCCTAGCTACTAGAGCTTCTACAACCGGACCTCTGTCTCCGTGGAGCAGGTGGACCTCGTCGATGATCAGTAGCTTGACGATGCTCGTCAGAGCAATGTCCCCAGTGCCTTTCCGAGTGACCACGTCCCACTTCTCAGGAGTCGTCACGATCATCTGGGTCTGCTGGATCTCGCTCTTGGTCAGTTGCATGTCTCCAGTGAGTTCTTTGACAGTAACTCCGAGACTAGCCAGTCTTTTATTGAAGTTAGCTGTCATCTCAGCGGCCAGAGCTTTCATAGGTGCGATGTAAATTATTTTAAACTCGTTCCTTTTGAGGACTCCGTTGTCAATGTGCAATTTTAATTGGTGGATCACAGTCAGCAGAGCTACGTTGGTCTTTCCTGCGCCAGTAGGCGCGCAGATTAATAAGTTTTCATTGCTGTTGTAAGCTGCGTTGAAAACAATGCTCTGGATGCGATTTAAAGTGGAGATTCCTTCAAAAGCCATCTGTCCGATCTCATCTAAAGCTGATATTTTTACTGGATAGTAATTCAAGTCTTCTAAATTAGACTTTGAAACGGGAATCGCCACTTCTTCGCATAAATTAGAGTCCTTTCGAGTGACATCTTCAGGAAGGATCAAATTGCTGCCGGACACGTAGCCGGTGGTGGTCTTGGACTTGAGCTGGCAGTCAAAAACATAAGGAAATTGTTCTCTAACAGTGGAGGAAATAAAAGCTCTCTTGCTGGTTGATAACACAGGAGCTTGCATCGCTTGCAAAGCCATCTGTCGCTTTGTTCTTAAAGCAAGCGTGTCGATTTCTTCATCAGAGTCTTCTTCGTACTTGTTAGAAGCCTTGAGCAGCTTTTTTTCCTCCTTGCGGACCTGCTTGAGCAGCTGCTTCTCCTTTTCTGACTGAACTATCACCTGACAGCCGTACTGAGGTCGCTCCTGAGTCCGAGTAATTGACTTTGACACCTTCTGGCTCATTAATAAAGGCAGTATTTTATCACGGTGCTTGATAATGTAGCCTATGAAGTCAATGTGCTCGCACCCGAGCACGTCAAACAACTCGCCTTGGAGATTATTATCGTTTTTCTTTAAATAATCCATTATAAGCTGCCCGAACTCTTCAAAAGACATATCTCCGGAATATTCAGTGTGACACTGACGCAAAGTGGTTAAAAATTTCTTTTTATCAAACTCCTCTTCCTTGCTCGGCTCCTCGCACTTGGTGTAAATCATGGTGAAGTCATTGTGGTCATACGTTTCATCGGTTGAGTTTGTCTGGGTCATATCATGCAACGGTTTGAGATTATCTGGCTTTGAACTGGATTTGTAAGTGAGTTCCGAGTTGAAGATGTTGAATTCTTTGGGCATGACATCATTGGAAAGTTCATTTTTTAAATTGTCGATTAAATCAATGTCCTCTTGGCTCAACGCTGCCTGGATCATCGAGACAGCCTCGATGATACTTCTTACAGCTTTGATATCTGTTTCGCTAAGCAGCTCCTGGACACGCTTGATGTTCCTGTCAGTCATTACTATTCTTTCATGGATAAGACTTTCCAGGATTTTTATTGACAGCTGATCAGCAGCTGCTGACGCTCCTGAGCATAATTCACCTACAAAATTAATTTAATAAATTTTTATAATTAAAAATGATGATTAACATACATGACATTAAATTTAGCTGTCATTTGACAATTTTTTTTAACAAACAAATTTGTTCCAAAAAATTTATTTAAATTTCTACTTGTCAATTTTTTTTGCCATAATTTATTTATTGAAAAAATGATCAAATTATTAAATTAATTTTCATTAAACATACTGCATGACTTGGTGACCACTTGATGAATCTTGGACAAAAGTGATTGCACCTGCTGGGGCAATCGCTGGCAAATTTTCTTCCATTCTGATTGCCTGAAAAAGTGTCATGATTAATTACTAAAAACTGGAGATAATTGGTGAAATTTAAATAAATAATAAATAATAGAGGTTACTTGTCGGCGAAAGCTGCTTCGCTGGATCTTTTCTTTGCCAAATCATTGCCCTCAGTAAGTGAATTTTTTTTTGTATTGCTCAAGGCTTTATAAACCCTTAGCGAGCGTGAGTAGCACGGCTGCTCAATCATTTTTTTTATTTAATAATTATTTACATTTGTTAAGTAAACTATATAATTCTTAAACTACTCCATATTTTCCTGCAATAACTCGCACGCTTCTGATGACATACAGACAACATTTAAGAAGAGTTTTGTTTTATCGACCTCATTCAACCGCGTCGTTAAAAAAACACTGAATTATTTATTTACACTTTAACAATTAAAAAAAAAAAAAAAAAAAAAAAAAAAAAAAAACTTGTATTAATATAAAACAATATTTTTATATTTAAAAGGTTATTTTTAATTTATTAAAAATTATTTTTTTTTCACTTGACTTCATTTTAATTTTTTTGGATACAATTTCTTCTTTATTTTTATTTAAATAAAAAACTTTCACATTGTTTTAAAGAAATTTTCACTTTTTCATTTATTAAACAATTAAACAATTATTAATAAAAAAACTTTACTTTTTTATTATTGACTGTCATTTATTTTCAGACACTCGCGCCATTTTTAACTCTCACGTGACCGGGGTCGTTCATTTTGCGTTTTTCATTTTAATAATACTCACACACGGCAAATAATTCACTCGCTGTCTATTGGATATCAGCGGCAAAAAAAAAAAAATCGCAAGGAACATCTTAATTAATTCACGGCGTATTTCACACGGCACTAATAAATTTTTCAATCGTCGAGTGCTGATTCAGCAAAATAATTTATAATTTATCAGTTATTGCGTCGTGGAACTTGGCAGTGATCATTAAAACTTCGCAAGCTTTAAACCGGCTTGATAATTAAAAAAATGGTCAAAGCAGTTTGTGTTTTGAAGGGAGAAGTCCAAGGAACTCTTTGGTTTGAACAGGACGTGAGTAATATTTTATTTTATTTAATAAAATTCTTAAATTAATTTCCTATCAATTATAATTATTATTTACAATTTTACTCCAACCGGTTTAATTTTTTTTTTTTTTAACAGAGTGGATCCAATCCTGTCAAGGTCACAGGAGAAGTTACTGGACTGAAGCCGGGTCTTCATGGCTTCCATATTCACGAATTTGGTGACAACACTAATGGTAAATATTTTTTTATTTCAATTAATAATCACAACATATTTATATATATAGTTAGCGTATGTATCTTTTATATAATTATTGACAAAGATATAATCAATGTAATAATAGGTCAATATTGCTTGCGTCACTCTGAAATAGCAGGTTAAAAAAAAAAAATTAAATCAAATTTATTTTTTAATAATTTTTTAGGATGTACCAGTGCTGGACCGCACTTCAACCCGCTAAAAAAAGACCATGGAGGTCCTGAGGACAGTGCAAGGCACGTTGGAGACCTGGGTAATGTCACAGCAGGAGCTGACGGTGTTGCCAAGGTCAACATTACTGATAAAATGATCGGGCTTCAAGGAGATCACAATATCATTGGCAGAACTCTTGTGGTAAATATTTTTAAATTAATAAAAGCTTGTTAATAATTTGTTTGATTAATTTTTAATCTGTATCAGGTTCATGCTGACCCCGATGACTTGGGCAAAGGTGGCCACGAGCTGTCATCAACAACTGGTAACGCTGGAGCTCGTTTGGCCTGTGGTGTTATTGGAATCACCAAATAAACATTCTGAAGAAGAAATTTCACATCAATTAAATTACTACGACCAAATTAATAATGTAATCAGGCACTACTCTATAAAACTAGGTTTTTGAGTAGAGTAAAAATTATCATTCCTGTTGAAATAAAAACCTCTCGTACATACAAGTTTTTTTTTATTTACATCTTGTGGGTAGGAAAAATTAGAGTACATGATAGAGTATCTATAAATAATTATATTGGAGTTTTTAAATTAATGATACTGAAATTAGAGACATCTGATAATTTTTTCAATTAAAAAAAAAATAAATTATAGCAATAAAATTTTATTTTTAAAATTTCATCTTTAGAAGTTTTAAAAAGTTATAAATGCAATTTTTTAAAAATAATTTTCTAGACTTTGTTTTTAAAAAATTTTAAAGTGTCTGCTAATTTCAATGTCATTAAAATTAGTGTAAAGTTTTTTCAATTCAATTAAAAAAACAAAATTAAATTGTAAGACTAATGACTATCTGTATCGCTCGTACGTGTTTCTGCTGTCATACCCGGACCTATGAACGTTAGGCATGAGAGCTATCGGCTGTCTTGGAGGGGCTACACTGGTCCCTCGACAGAGCATAAAGATCAGCCAGTACAATCCTCCCACGCATCGGCTCAAAAATTCACAGAGGCCGAATAATATCGGCGTCAATGCTCTGACTAAATTCGATAACTCGTGGGTTATTTTAATACTGAAATCAGCAAAGTACCAGAGGAAATTCGCGAGGAGTGTTATCAGGCTCATTAAGACAACTGCGAGAAATTTTGAGGCTTCTACAAAATTGTGATACGTCAAAATCTGAAAATAAAAATTTTTCAATCGTATAGCACTCTTTGATGCTTCGCATTGATCTTATTTTTGTGTAATTGAATTCTTACTTCATTTATATCGAATTCGGGATATTCTTCCGGGATAGTTGATCTTTGAGACGTATTGTGAAATGATTTTAAACGTTTCAAATTAAACTGGACAGTGTTGTCGTAAATTTTGACGGATTTTATTTGGAGCCAATATTTGCCGAGTGGAGTTGGGTCCAAGTCAACCCATAATTTATAATCTTGAACTTCGTCATCGATAATTGTTCCTATAATATTAATTATTAATTAAAAATTTTATGTTTTATATTAATGAATAAATAATAAATGTCAAATATATGAAAATTAATTTAGGAGACATTTAATAATTTTTATAACAAAAAAAAAAATAAAAAATTATTTTTTAGAATAAATTTGTTTGTCAAAAAAAAAAAAAAATAAAAAAATTGTCAAGTGACAGCTAAATTTAATTATATGTCAAATACTCACTAGTAATTCCAAGAGATTTTTCTCCATTGAGTTCTTCTCTAACAACATTATAAATTTGTTTTAAAATTTTGACAATCTCTTCATCTTTGTCAACTACAACAATATCTCTAAAATAAATATCAATTACATAAACAATTATTAATAGCTTCTATAAATAACTAAGTACTTATATATTTACACTTATACTTATTGATAACATACTTGTAAACAGGAGACGGATGATTCTTGACCAATCGCCGCTCCAAATACTCGCCGACAAAAATAGTATTCGATTTTTTGATAATACTTGTTAATTTGCTTTTCAAATTAATTGTAGCATCGCAAATACTTGAAGTACTGGACCCGACAGAGGAGTTTAACGATGAGGAATTCATAGCAATAGCTCTACAAAAATAAATAAATAAATTTATAAATACTTAATTAAATAATTACAAGCTCCCAGCTGTCATTTTTCTTGTCCTTTTTTATCTGTCAAAATTAATTTTTGTCTACGTAATTTAATCAGCGACTCTTATCAGAAAAAAATATAAATATATAGATATGCATATTGTTGATAAGTAAGATGACTTTCAATTTCAATTAAATTAAATGTTGCGAACGAAGAAGTTTGTAGAAATGACACGTGGTGGCGCTAGTTGTCAGGACGATGGTGCTGCCCTCTTGTCAAATTTATCTTCCATCCGTAAATCACTTTTATTTACTCTATATAGTGTCTTTTTTTGTCGTGATGAAATCTTGTGCTAGTTCGACCAAGCACACTTGATTGTCAATTACGTTGTATAAAAGTATGAATATATTTGCTAATTTATGTGACGTCATCTCATCGATCACTGATATTTTTATTTAACACATATTGCTGGTAAATTTTTAAATAAATTTTTTTAATAATTATGCCAAGAAGACGCAAAGTATCCAGAAATAAATCAGCTGTTAATTCAAGGCTGAGTAGTGAAGAGCCTACTAGGTAATTATTTATCTAATTATTTTATTTTATTATTTAAATAAATTATTATTAATTTTTTAAAATTACCTTAGAATGTCGGAGAATAGGCGAGAGTCAGTGGAAGCTGATGAACCACCTGTACCTGTAAGTAACTGACTTAATTGTCTCAATTATTGCACTGACAACAGACGTCAATTGTTTGTTTATTTTATCTTTCTTAGTAATTACAAACATTGTCTTACGTCTGTTTTTATTAAAAATATTCTCTGTAATAATGAATTTTGACAGAATCATGTGGATAAAAATTCATCCACAAGCAATGGAAAGACAGATGTGCATGAATTAGATTACGAAGAAAATGAATTAGAGCAATTGATTATCACCAGATTATTTAATGACATCCGATTCTCAGACGATGTTGTTTCCGTGTTGCCGGATCGCTCTTGGGCTATTCACTGTACTGAGGAACCAGTTAAAAGAATTGTTGTCAGTGAAATTTCAATGGTTAATTTTCATGGTAGAGGCTTTGAGCCTTTTTATGTCAAGCAGGTAAATAATAATCTATGTTATTAAGAAATGACCTTGTATCTTGAGAAATATTGACATTTTTAAAGATATAAGCTCATCCCGATGTTACACTCATCGATACCTTTCATTTGAGTAGCCACATCAATTTTTCATATATTTATATATATATTATATATATATGTATATATGAAAAATATATCAAAAATGCATGTGGATACTCAAATGAAAGCTCTTGATGTATGTAACATTGGGATGAGGTTATATCTTTAAAAATGTCAATAACTAAGAAATGACCTTGTATCTTGTCAAATAATGACATTTTTAAAGATATAAGCTCATCCCGATGTTACACTCATCGAGACCTTTCATTTGAGTACCCACATCAATTTTTCATATATTTTATATATTTATATATATTATATATATGTATATATGAAAAATATATCAAAAATGCATGTGGGTACTCAAATGAAAGCTCTCGATGAGTTGTTTATTTATAAAATAAATAATTTTATAAATTAAATTTTAATAAAATAAATTCTTGCAGATTATTTTTGACGAAAAATTGAACTTCGAATTATTTTTAATAAACTCAAGGACGGTATTAAAAGACAAACCAGCATATATAAAAAGCATCACCGACTTCGAGTCACTCTTAGACTACGTAAGCGGTGTGAAACTCTGCGCCGGGGGCCCAGAGTTCACCAAGTACAGCAACGTGAGTCCCGAATGCGCTTACAAGGACCCTTACAGCAAGTGGAGGCACAATTTGTGCACCTTGGAAGTCCACGACGCGGACGTCTGCGAAGCCTGCGAGTCTTTAGACGAAATTCTGAAGCGCCACTCGCAGAGAACTAAGTCGCCTCTCAAGTCCCGCAATAACGTGGTTGCGACTAAGAGGAAAAAATTCTAAGGATTTAAAACTAGTGATTTAAAAAATCTATTTTGTATTTCAGATTAAATAATATATATAAGTCTTCAATCAATAGAAAAAATTTCAACTTGACGTTTTTTATCTTCCAGTAATTTTTTCAATAATTGTTCAAAAGATTGTATGTCCGTTACTTATTTTGTATTATACATGTAAATAAATAATTTACATATAATTTTATAATTTATATTTGATATACAAGTATTATATTATATATTTTTTTAATAAGGCTCCTCGCCTTTAATAATCAATCAATTACTTACTAAATTAATTATTTTTCTATATTATAATTTATTCATATAAACATTTCATACACTTTAAAATTTTTTTTTTTCAAGAGCTTAAATTTTAGCGATATGGATACGGCTAACGTTTTAATTACTCAGAAAATTTAAATGTAGGATTTAGAATAGTCGAATAATATTTTAGTTAAATCGTTTGGCATGATATGATACATAAAATTATATTATCAAATTCAACGTGAAATAGGACAACATTAATTTATTTATTTAAAATTTAATGATATGTAATTTTACATTAGTCACTTTAGTGACAGATCTAAGCTTGTTTTAAATTATTTATTTTATTTATTTATGTCGCATCAATGGAAGTGATTGTACAATTTAATTTTAAAAGTAACAATAACTAGCGTTGAAATAAAAATATAATTTTTTTTTTTTCGCAATTACAGTACTGAGATCTCAGAGAATGCGTCTTTTATATTTAATACAATTATTTATATTTTTATTTAAAATGATACCTTTTTTGTGTTTACTGATAATTAGTATAAGTTATCTTTATTTAATGATAATATTTTTTAAATTGAATATATAAATATACAATTAATATACATTTTTATGCTCGATCTGAAGTTCCGAGCAATAAATATGCTGGAAATTATTTCAGGAAGAGCACACGACTACTAATTCGCATTATACATGGACTAGACTTGATTTCTTATTACTAATTATTTATTTTTTTTTTTATTTATTTTAATTAATTATTTTTAATGCAAAACGGTTTTAAAGGACAACAGAAAGGTCGAATTTTAATTTATTGCACTCAGTTGCAAAGTCAACTTTTATCTTATATAGTACTCAGTTGATTTATTAATTAATTATCATAAATATATTTTAATAATGGACGTTTTTTTTTTTTTTTTTTTTTTCAATTTATCAAAAAATTTTTTTTTTTTTTTTTTTTTTAATTTACAAATAAATTATTCCAAATTTTAATTCCTTTGGCTTTGTAAATGAGAACTATATTAATAATTATTTATTAATTAAAATTTTAATTACAATAAAATATGGAAGGCCCATCTAGCTGCATTGAAACTTAAAAAAAAAAAAAAAATCCATAAATAATTTATAAATTAATTAAGTACAAAAATTACAAACTTACTAACAAATAAAACAAAAATTATTGGCAAGACTGAGTTACTCCAATTATAATTTAACAAAATAATTTTTTAACTAAATTTCATTTTTAATAAATTAAAAAAAATTGCTAATAAATTAATTACGGATTATTTTAAAAATTATTACAGCTTTTGTCTAACAAAAGTATTATTAATTACAATAATAATAATAATAATAATAATAATAATAATAAATATTACAATATGTGTACGTCTCTGACGATTATTGTGTTTTAATAATCTAACACATATCACAGAATACGTATTTCTTCTGTAGAAAAATTATACAAGCATAATATATTGTACAGAATAATTATTTACGTCTTTTTTTTCGCGTCTCTAATATCAAAATTTAATAAAAATTTTTTGTTTAAAAAATTCATAACATACAAAATTTTTTTGACATTAGACACGCAATTATTTTTTAAAAATTAAAATAAATGGGTGATTCTCTGCACGGAAAGAACAAGATGACACTGGATACCATCTCAGATTATACTCAGTGACATCTGAGGCGAAAAAAAATTTCAGATGGTAACTAGTATAATCCAGATTATACTGAATACTATCTGGATTATACTCATTGTAATCTGGATTATACTCATTGTTATCTGGATTATACTAGCTACTATCTGAAATTTTTTTTCACTCAGTATAATCTGGGATTATATCCAGTATAATCTTGTTCTTTCCGTGTGTAAGGATTTTTTTTTATTAGAAAAATTGTTATTTTGTAACTAAAAAAAATTTATTATGAAAGTAAAAAAACATTTTTATAAATTAATTTATTTAAAATATTTTTAAAAATTTATTTATTTATTTAATAAATTTTATTATGATTAAGCTGATAGTTTTGTAGCCCTTGTTAATTTTTTTTCTAATAAAATCATAAATAATTTGGTCGGACAATTTTGTACAGACTTAAGACGTCCTTACAGAGAATCACCGATATATTTTTAATTTTTAATTAAAATTAAAAATCGAATTAAATGACTCTAGTTATCTCACAATCTCGCTAATAATCTAGCCTCTTTACAATAAAATAAAAACTGCGTTGAAAAAAAAAATCATTTGTGCAGCAGACAATTATTTTAAACCGGAGGCTTATTTATAAATAAATTTTTATATTACAAAATTAAATAAAGACTTATTTAAAATATACAATTAAGACTGCGAGCAGTCTGAAATTTTAAACATTAAATTATTTATTAATTATTTAATATATTTATAATTAAAATTGAGTTTTTAGAGTGAACTGATGAGAAAAGGGTCTGGTTGATTTTCTACTGGTTGAGCAGGGTGTTGGTCACCTCAGAGATGGACAGCAGAGGACTCCCGGCGTCCGGTTTGGTATCTGAGAGGCAGCTGGCACTATTGAGGCAACCGAGGAGGCTGCGTGATGCGACTGATGATATAATGAGTTGCTGATGGTGGTGTTGCTGTGCTCCTGGGGTATGTCCATGCCCGAGCCGGCCAAGTCCGTCCCCGTTCCCGCTGACGATGGTGACGTGCTGTAACCAAAAGTACGTTTTATCGTTAAACTCTTTTTTCTTTTTTTTATTTTAATATTTGTTTTTTTTTTTTACTATTTTTTTTCAACTATTTTTGCAGATTCTACTTGAAAAGCGGGAGCTTAATAAATAATCAATAGCATGCGGCAAAGTCTAACTACTAAGAATCTGATAGGCCATCAGAATAAAAAGAGTATTGGCAAGTTTGTTTTACAAAGTGATTGCTAGTTTTATTCAGTATGGACGTAACTATGTCATACGGTATCTCTCAATCGAAAAATCGAAGCAATGGCAAACATTAATGCGCCAAATTACACTTTATATTGATAAAGTGTTTTTTTATTCAACTGCAAGGTTTTTTTTATTTTAATTAATAAAGAACTAGCAACTTTGCAGTCACTATGTGACTGCCGTGATTTGTAAACTATGAATAAATAAAATTTTGCGTTATTAAATAATGACTTTTGTTAAATTGCACTGTACTTTCTTGAATATTGACGTTTTTAAAAATATAAGCTCATGCTGATAATACACTCATCAAGAGCTTTCATTTGAGTACCCACATGCATTTTTGATATATTTTTCATATATTTTTCATATATACATATATATAATATATATAAATATATAAAATATATGAAAAATTGATGTGGGTACTCAAATGAAAGGTCTCGATGAGTGTAACATCGGGATGAGCTTATATCTTTAAAAATGTCATTAATTGACAAAATACAATGTCATTTCTTAATTATTGACCTTTTTTAAGATATAAGCTCATCCCGATGTTACACTCATTAAGAGCTTTCATTTGAGTACCCACATGCATTTTCATATATTTTTCATATATACATATATATAATATATATATAAATATATAAAATATATAAAAAAAATTAATGTGGGTACTCAAATGAAAGGTCTCGATGAATATAACATCGGGATGAGCTTAAATCATTAAAAATGTCAATAGTTCTCAAGATACAAGGTAATTTCTCAATTATGTATCTAGAGAGAGAATTTTTGAATGCAGCCTAAATATCTAAAAATCATAATTTTTAAATAAAATCACTATTCTCATTAAAAATGTTAACTACCCAAAACTTCAAAAAAAAAAAAAAAAACCAGAAAAAAAATAGCAAAAAAAAAAATAAAACGTGAGGCAGCGGTGACACTCACTGGGGCGTGTGTCTTGGTGGTGCGGGGTGGTGATGGTGGTAGGGATAGTACTGGTAGTGGTGGTGCTGAACTCCTTGCCATACCTCGCCGGTGTCCCCGTGGTGTCCCTGATGATGTGCGTATCCGCCGTAGTGACTGTGACTAGTAACCGGATACTGTCCTTGATTTTGGGCAGCCTGGTTCTGGTTCTGGTGATGATTTTTCCTCGGCGGACTGGCTTGTCCGCCATTGGGGGAGGTCTTCCACTTGCAGTCTCCATTGAGGGAGTTCATCTCTGCCAGGGATTTGAGAGGGTCGCTGTTGACATTGACATTGGTGTTGGAGTGAGACGAGTGGGTGGAATGCGGGGTGGGAGGGCTGTAGCTTCCGTTGTTCTTCGGCGGGGACCTGGGCGGTGGACCCCACATGAGGACAGTCTGCCTGGGAGCTTCGCTGCCGTAGACGTCGGGCTTGACGTCTTCCATCTTGGGAGTCCTGACTCCATTAGCAGCGGTGACGGGAGAGCTTCCAGCGGAGTTGCTGGAGGAAGCGCCTTCCAGAGAGTGCCTGCTGCCCGCTCTGCCCACTCCCATGTTGATCTCGGGGTTCTGGTGGATGTTCGAGGCGCTGGTTACCGGGCTGGCCGCGTAGGGCGAGTTGTTGGGGTGCCTCGCAGAACTGTCGACGTAGCCGTACTTGGGGCTCTCCAGCTGCTGGCAGTAGAGTCTCTCCTCGGCCTTGCTGCCCGCCAGCTGGTGGGTGTCATAAGTGGGCAGCGAGACGTCGATGAAGCCGTTGTAGGCCGTCGTCGAGTGGTAGTCCGGGTAGTACGAGCCCAGCGGCCGGTACTGGAAGAGGTTCTCCGTGGTGAGGTAGCGGTTGTCCAGCGCCGAAGCCGGGTACAGAGTCTGGTGGTAGTTCCCTGTGTGACCGATGTACGTCGTCAAGGATGGGTCACTTGTCGCCGCGACTGCGCTCGGCGCGTATGGGGTTGGGTAGATCGTGTTCAGGTTGCTGTACGCCGCTGCCACCGCTGCTGCTGCGCTGGTGTCCGCTGCCAAGTAGTCCACCGAGGCCACTGTCGGTGTCGAAGGCGGAGAACTCGACGATTGATTGGCCAGCTTGGTTCTCTTGCTGCGACACGTCGACAGGAAGTCACGAAGCTGGGTTTTGTACCGTCGGTTCACTCGCTGAGGCGTCGGCTGCGCTGGCAATGTCGGGGTCATTGATGGCCCTGTCAGGCTGTCGTTGTCTGAAAAGTAGCTGTTGGTCAGTCCCGCGTCTAGATAACTCACTTTGAAGTCCATCGTACGTTTTCCTAGAAGATCACGACCTTCCTCCTCCCTAAATAAAAAATTTTTTGGGATTAAATTGGGTGATTATTTTAATTTATAGTAAAAGTTGATTTTTAAAATTTATAAAAAGAAAATAATAATTTAATTTTAAGATGAAAATAAAGTTAGCCGACATCTAAAAATTTATATGATTTTTTTTTATTGAAGAATTATTATAAAAAAATTAAAATCTTCAGAAACTATAAATTAAGCAAAATAAAAAAATTATAAATGTCGGCTAGCTTTATTATTATAATTTTAAGACAGAAATTCACGTAAAGAACTTTTTGATTTCAAAATTAATTATAAATTGCAATTTAAAATAAACAATTTTACTATTTTAATTATTATGGATTAGTATTTGATAATACTAAAGTTAGTCGACGTTTTTAATTTTTTTTCAATAATTTAATTAGAATGAAATTTTTTTAAAAATTGCACTTACAGTTTTTTACAAATAAAAATTTCGGCTGCCCAATTTTAAAATACAGAAACTGACAATTTTAAAATTTTTCTTATTAAAAAAAAGTTTGCACGTCTAATTGATAAAAAATTTGATTTATGAATAGAAAATACTTGAATCTAAATATTTTTAAGAAAAAAATACTTAAAATGTATTACTACTATAAAATATATTACTGTGTTTTAAAATTGGGCAGCAGATTTTTTGTAATGATTTTTTCAATAAAAAAAAAATCCTAAAAATTTTTTAAATGTCGGCTAACTTAATTTTCAAGTATTTGGTGTTGATATGTAAAAAAAAATAATTAAATTTTAATGAAATTCTAATTTCTTTAAATCTATTCCAAAAATTTATCATATAAAAAATTAACTTTAAAGTATATAAAATTTTAAAGAGTTAAAAAAAATTATACAAATCAATTAGACATAAAAAATAATAATGTTATAATACTTACATTAAAGGTCGGTGGGTGCTGATTACAAAGTCCGGCTTAGAATTTTTATAAACCAAGCGAGAACTAGTCTGTAACCATTGCCAGCCTCCATCTTTCATCTGGTACCTGTAAGCGATCATCCCCGACGCTCCAGTTTTCAGAACTGTAAATAATAATTAATTAATTCCCGTTTTTAAAATAAACCTTTAATATACTCACGTTCTTGATGAGCACTCGCGACGTAAGCCAGGTCGTCATAGTGCACTAAATCATAGCCGCCTAAATTCGTAAGTTCCGCGTCGGTGTACCCCAGAAGCATCTTCCCTCTCTGGTCCATGGAAACAAGCGCAAAATCAAGTTTGTGCTTGCTCTTGAACATTACTTCCTTCTGCGGGACTTCCAGCAGTGAAGGGGGTCCGAAAGGCGTGCAAAGCGCGAAGAGGGCCAGCGGAGGCTCCTCTGTCTTTTTATTCTGGCCATGCAGGACCTTCACCCTCCCCCTGATGTCTAATCTCTGAAAAGTGAAGCAAAAAAGTTTAAAATAATTATTTAAAGTTTGAAAATTAAAAACTTTAGGTTTATGCTTAAATCTCGGGTAAAAAGTTTACGATTACAGTTTAATTTTCATAAACGTCAAAGCGGTAGTTTTTGCTCCGAACCCGAAGCAAAATACAAATAAACAGTCACTGCATAAGCATAATAATCCTTTTCGACTGACTGCTGTAATATTATGTCCATTAGTCTGTCTTACTTTGCTCGAACATTAATTAGTGTTTTGTCTCAGCATTCGCAATGCTTTTATTAAACTCTCAGCTTAATTAAAAGCTAAAACTACCAATCAGTCTTTTCATTGTTTCATTTTATTTATCTTTCATTTCTTGTCTGACAAAAATAATTAATATTTATTTATTTATTAAATTAAGCGGCCTTAGAAGTTTTCCGTAAGTTTAATTTACGTAATAAGTACAATATAAATAAATATACTAATAAAAAAAATTATTTTCTTGCAAAGAAAAAAAATTCTTCGGTTTAAGTAAAATTTTTTTTTATTAATAAAATTTTACTTTATTCAAGATAAATTTTTTATTAAAAATAATTTCTTTTAAAAAATTTATTCTAGTCAAGAAGTTTTTTTTTTTTTTTATTTAAATTGATAATTAAAATTAGAGAAGCTATTTAAATAATTATTATTAAATATTTAATTATATTTAAATGCATTAAAAATAAATAAGTTTTTATTGTAATTGATTTTTAATTAAAGCAACATCTGGATTTAATTATCAAGGGACTTGCTAGTGATATCACCGAGTCATGGAGAGTAATAATGAGAAATCTATATTTTATCCGGCTAAACAAAGAGATAAAGTCCGTCTTTGTTTGGTTAATTTCTGAATTTCCCATCAGACCAATTACCAATGCCGGGTTTATTTCATTTATCTATTTAACCGCTGCATCATTAATCAATTTCATTAAATTTATTTTTAATCCTGATATCTTCTTTTTATTTCATTGAAGAATCATTAATTTGTAATTGATTGATGAGTCGTTAAATAAGCTTGTCTGTGTCTAAATTAGTCATGTGTATTTATTAATTAAATAAATAAAGTGGCTTGAAATTTATTGAAAGAGAATTTTGTTCTTAAAAATTTAAGGAAAAATGAGGAATAAAGAAGACTACTTACCAAGAACCCGGAAGTGTTGTCCAAAAGACAACGGAAGCGAACTGTAAAGCTCCGTTCCAGCAGATGGCTATGCTGGACGGAAAGCGCGTCGTGAAGGGGTAAGTTTGAACTTTCCGATGGTAAAAAAGAGTTCCACATTAATTGTCGTTGTAACTCCTCTCTGTCTTCGCTGTGAACCAATTCGTAGACGCTCTGATGAACGATGTCGGACTGAAACATAATTTATCATACGTGGCTGATTAATTAAGTGACTAAGCCTTGAGGTGTGGGTTGATAAGAAATTTCTAGCTATTGAATGACTGATTAGGAATTTTTTTTATCGACAGCAGAGTGGCGCAGTGGAAGCGTGCTGGGCCCATAACCCAGAGGTCCGTGGATCGAAACCACGCTCTGCTAAATATATTTTTTTAAAATTATTTTCAAATCTTAAATAGTGTATTGATTGATTGTTTTCCAAGACTTGAAGAAGTTATTGGTGTTAAAAATTTTTATGGGATTTTTTTTACAAGCAATTGATGTTATTTTTTTTTAATACGACAAAATTTAAAAATTAAAGACACTTTAAGAATATTTAAATATGTTTTATACAATAAAATTGACCATCAAAAATCTTTTAAGTGACTTTTTAGTCAATTTTACAATAATTTATTTCGAAAAATGCCTTTTTATAATTTTTTTTAAAAATTTTTTAATTAATCAACGCGTTTTTTTACTTCACATCATTACTTTTGACCCTTTTAGCACTCTCTAATTTACTCAGCTTTGACATTACAAAATATACATTAACGTTCTCTTAAAATACAATTCTTTGATGATTATAAATTTGACAATCAAAAAGCTGGATTTTTATTAAGGGTTGAAATTTATAAAAAATTGAACTAAAGCCCAATTTAAATCCCTTACATCAAAGCAGAGTGGCGCAGTGGAAGCGTGCTGGGCCCATAACCCAGAGGTCCGTGGATCGAAACCATGCTCTGCTAAATATATTTTTTAAAAATTATTTTCGGATCTTAAATAGTATATTGATTATTTTCCAAGACTTTAATTAGAAGTTATTGATGTTAATAATTTTTATGAGATTTTTTTAGAAGCAATTTATATTATTTTTTTTTTTTTACAACAAAAATTAAATATCAAAGTATACACTTTAAGTGTATTTAAATCTATATTATACAACAAATTGACCGTTAAAATTTTTTTTAGTTACTTTTCAATCAATTTTACAATAATTTGTGTCAAAAAAAAAAACTTTTTATAATTTTTTTTATACTTTTTCAATTTACCAACGCGTTTTTTTACTTCACATAATTACTTTTGACCCTTTTAGTACTCTAATTTACTCAGCTTTGATATTACAAAATATACTTTAACTTTCTCTTAATGAACATTTATAATCCTTTGATGATTATCAATTTGACAATAAAAAGAGCTGGATTTTTATTAAGGGTTGAAATTAATAAAAAATTGAACTAAAGTTTAATTTAAATCCCTCACATCAAAGCAGAGTGGCGCAGTGGAAGCGTGCTGGGCCCATAACCCAGAGGTCCGTGGATCGAAACCACGCTCTGCTAAATTGCAAATTTCTTTTTTTGCTCGATTAAAAATTTTGTTTAAACAGTTGCGGCTACTCTTCTATCAACAGTACAAACAAAGTTTACAATAAAACAATTTAAAAAACAAATATTATGCTGCGCAGCTTATAGGCTTATGAATAATGGGTGGATTATGAATCGTAACGACAGTTTGCAAAAGTTATTTTATACGTTACGAGTGTAAGTATAAGATAACATGACAATAAGGGTTGGAAAAGTTTAAATATCTAGTTTGTTTCTTCGTAAGTTGCTCCCCTCAGTTTTGTGTCTTATGTCATGTGTTTTATGTCTTATGTCTTATGTCTGACACAGACAATTGCGAAAAAACATAACGATAACAAGGAATTGATAGAGTCTAATGGTAAAAAATAATCCCGGGTCACAATGCTAAGTTGCCGAGAATGTATGAGCAGGATAATAGTTAACCTTAAGATTACTGTTGACGGAAGTATGCAGCTTTACATCAGGAGGGTAATAAATAGCTTCTGAACATTGTACGCGATCGATCAGAGACTGAAAATAATCGCATTTTATAAAATTAATTTATAATAATAAAGAAAATTGAAATAATAATAATTATGTGACTGTCGTGACTTGTGAACTATAAATAGATAAAATTTTGCTTTATTAAGTAATGACTATTGTTAAATTACTCTGTACTTTCTTAAAGATTGACTTATTTAAAGATATAAGCTCATCCCGATGTTACACTCATCAAGAGCTTTCATTTGAGTACCCACATGCTTTTTTGATATATTTTTTCATATAAATTATGAAAAATTGATGTGGGTACTCAAATGAAAGCTCTTGATGAGTGTAACATCGGGATGAGCTTATATCTTTAAAAATGTCAATAATTCACAAGATACAAGGTCATTTCTTAATTATGTATCGAGAGAGAGAGAGAGAGTATTTTTTAATGCGGTAGATAATAATAATAAATGTTTTGAATAATTATTATTATTGTTGTTATTAATATTATTTTACTTGGAAGAAATTATTATTATCATTATTAATTTTTTGATAAATTATAATAAGAATAATAAACACTCCAACAAACTTCAAGGTCCTGAATGTTTTCTTCAATAATCCCAATTTCTTTCTTGATATCTTCTTCAGTTTTAGCAACGCCAGTCGTTAGCTCCTCCATAGGCTTCGCCAGCGACTCTAGATGAATAAGCGCGTCGAGATTCCGTGATTCAATTTCAGAAAAAATCCGTGACAACTCCAGAGGACACTCAACTGATATTTCTCCAGGGCCAAGATTGCTATCGCTGATCTCCTTCTCGAATGTTTCTGAAAAATGTTGACCATCGATTGTATTGTCAAGTAAAAATAGTAAGTGATAAAAAATGAATCTACCTACGAGACACTCCAATGAAGACTTGGCAGCCGGGTCCTCATCAACAATTGATTCACCCTCAGAATGCATTGATTTATCATCTTTATAAACAGAAGCATTGAATTCAGGGGGAGAAAAAATTTTACGGACAAACTCATGACACATTTTGGCATCTCGCCACATTTCTCGCCACTGATACACATCCAACCTAACTTGTCCAAATTCTTTCAACAATCTGTCGCGTTTTGAGATCATCTTGCTGCTATTTCGAGTTTCCTGATCGGCTTCTTCCAACACCTTCATACTTTCTTCATGGTCGTGAGACAAATATTCTTCAAATGCGCTACTGTACTCTCGATAGCGATCCTTCAAAAAATGACATTTATTTAATTATTGACTCCAATAATTAATAAAAAAAATTTTTATTTTTTAATACATACTTCAATATCATTGAATTTATTCTTCTCTTGATCAAACTGCTGATCAATTCTTATACAGTGATCTCTGTTATAACCCGCAAGAAGCTTAGTCTTCATTACTTTGTTCACTTGCTCGACATATCTTCGCCTTGAAAACTTTTCACGGATAGGACGACCAGCAAGATCAGTGAAGTAGCCAGGATCAATGTCAGTAATAGCTAATGGGACATCTATTGAAGCTTCATTTTTTTTTAACACAATATTTTTTTTTACATACTTAGTCGCACTCTTGCCAGGTTGTTTTTCTTTTTTGCTGCGTCTTTTAGCTTCATTCCATTGATAAAATCCAAACAATTGGACATTTGATGGTATTGCAAATGGTGATTGATCTTGTTCAATATTTTTATTCATCTTTTATGTCTAAAATTAATTAATAAATTTTATTTTATAATGTGTCAAAAAGTTTTGAGAAATTTTTTCTTAATAGTAATTTATTTGATGAAAATTAGCAGCAAAGTTAGCTGACATTTAAAAATTAAAAAAAGTTTTTTTATTGAAAAAATTATTACAAAAAAAAAGAAAAAAAAATTGTCAATTGTTAAAAACTTGAAAAACTGTAAGTGCAAATTAAAAAAAAATATTTTTTTGTTCTAATTTAATTATTAAAAAAGGATCAAAAAATTAAAAACGTCGGCTAACTTTAGTATTATATTTATTTGTTGTAAAAATCACAAAAATAATGAAGACACTGAAGTAAACTGACATTAGAAACTTTTTATAATTCTCTAGCAATTAAATTACTATTAAAAAAAATCTACCTGTGAAAAATATATAAAAAAAAATTAATAGTGGAAATTGTTTTATTGTGATTGATTTATTATAAAAATTAATAATATTGAAATCAGCTGATACTTGAAATTTTTTTTTATTTATATTAAAACAATTTTTAAAAATTTTCCACAGAATTTTTTTTTATAATAATTTAATTATTGTAAAATAAAAAAAAAATGTTAACTTCAAGATCATAAAAATTGACAGTTGTCAGCTAACTTCAGTATCAAACAAAACTGACAGATGTCGGCTAACTTCAATTTGATATATTTAAAAAATAAAATATGTATAAAAAAAATCCGGCAACTTTAAATGACAGATAAACAATAATAAAAAAAAAAAAAAAAAAAAAAAAAAAAACAAACCTAACAACGTGAGAAGTTTGACTTGCGCGTTGCCAATGCAAAATGATTCAATATAAATATCTCTTATCGTAGAGAACAATGGATGGTTATATATTATTACACGTAACATATATGTATTTGATCGAGTATGGTGGCTGTTTGTTTGTTTGTTTACAATCCTTATGAAGAAACCGATATTATATGAGAGCTATGAAAAGAAGGATATTACACAAGTCTGTGGAAGCTATAATGCAAATAAAAGTAGAGAAGAAAAAGTAAAGGTAAATACCTGGATAAGTTTAACAAATATAATAATAAATAAATAAAAAAGCGAGAAAAGAATAAGATCGGTTCCATCCCAGATATACTGGCGTTCTAGATTTGCCGTAGTGTCTTCGCCGAATATCTACGGGCTAGAAGAGAAAAGAAAGGAACGCTCTGGCATCTACTTTCATTGCTGCTAGTTCGACGGACCTATAAGGTGCAAGTACCGTTCATCTCTCTTCTTATCTAAATTTTTAACTAAAACTTGCTTCTTCTCTTATATAAATATTATAATATAATATAATATTCTGTTATTTTAGCTTTGGACAAACGCAGCGCCGGATAAAAATAAATTTCACTTTATTTTGGTTTTCACTTAATTAAATACGGAGTAAGTAAATATTTTTCTTAATCATTGCTTGTCTTGATCATTCTAGAGCCTTCTAAAAAAAAAACAATTAAATAAAAAAAAAAAAATGTGTATGGTAATATTTTAATAACTTGGAAGTAAAAAATTTCTAATTAAATAAATTACTTAATGTAATATAAACAATGATAATTACAATGAAATTTAAAATTTCACCGGCGACAAACAAAGTGTCACTGTGCTCAAACAACACGCGGTAATTCGTTAGAAGAAGACAAACGGAGACGGCATTCATGCTCTGTTTTGCACTACGTCACTCAGTGAATTAATAACAACAGTTTTCTACAGGATACTATTTTATATCAGTCATATTGTAACTCTCATCCGAACTGCTCATAATATTTTATTATCAGCTATTATTTTTCATTTCAGATAATGTCTTCTCGGATATAACAACAGTGTCTCGTAATTGAGATTTTAAGTGCTGAGTTTTGCATAAAGTTTTATCTTAAATGATAACAACTATGGAGAAGACGTTGGTGGTGTTAGTGCTCGTGTTAGGACTCTCACACGTGCCGAGTTTGACGCTCAATTGGGACGGCTGTGGAGGAAGACTTGAGAGGGCTTTGGATGCGATGCAGAGGGATTCTTCACGAAGAAATCGACACGAAGATGATGAAAACGGGATTGTTTATCAACGGAAACTCACCTCTGCTCCTCTTGAGATGACTGTTGCTCGTATTTCTGTAAAGGTATACAATTTTATTTATTTTTTTTATTATACTGAAATTAAGAGACTTTTTATAATTTTTTAACAAATAAATTATAGCAAGAAAAATTTATTTTAAAAATTTCATCTTTAGAAATTAAAAAATTATAAATGCAATTTTTTAAAAATAATTTTCTAGATCTAATTTTTTTTTTTTATGAGATCTGATAATTTTTTTAAATTTTTTAATAAATAAATTATAGCAAGAAAAATTTATTTAAAAAATTTTATTTTTAGAAGCTCTGAAAAATTATAAATGCAATTTTTTAAAAATAATTCTCTAGACTTAGTTTATTTTTAAAGGATTGTCAATAAAGTTGTCAATAATTTAAGTGTCATAAAATTAAATTAATTAATTTTATTATTTGATTTTTTTTTAATTAAATAAAATAAAATAAAATAAAATAAAATTATAGGTACCTAGTTCAGGAACAAATCGCGATGGAACGTGGGCTAGAGTGGATAAATGTAAATTCGAGCCAAGCAATAACTCTCTGCAAAGTCGTGTAATGTTCAACGATTTATCAGTGTCAGGATTAGTGCTGCTGGTGCCGAGTCAGCGACATTCATCAGGCCCGAACATCGGTGAATCCTGTCGGATGAATTTAAGATTGAAACGAGCTGGGGTTGAATTTTCGACGAGTCCAATCGCCCGAGGGCGAGGACAAATGAGAATTCGAACAGAGTCAAACTTTCTGGAGCCGAGATTCGCGTCAATTTATGCCTACGGCTGTCACCCTACCAATCGGGTCGACAGGCAGATAAAACGCCACGACAAGCCTGCTATTTTCAATCCTCCTAGTCATCACAATAGCAATAACAATTACAATGATTACCCCAACGACGCTCCTGAGCCACGAGAAGACATCGTCGAGCGCTCTACGACAGAAGAAGACGTCGTTATCGCCAACGAGAGTTCCGTTTCAAGGTTCGGCTACTCCCGGTTTGATTCCTTACCTACCAAGAAGACTTTTTGGATCACCAAGCCGCCGGACGACAAGCGCAAAAGGCGCTCCAATATTTCTGCCGACTCGCTGGATAACAATTTTGATAATTCCCAGGAAAATAAATTCCAGCATTTTCTGATGGATGATTATCCGTATGGCGTTGATTGGCAGTCTAAAGAGAGCGTTGCTCGAGAAATGGAGGACGTTTTTCTCCGAGGAGCCAGCGAGGCTCTCACGAAGTACATTGAACATGAGCTTCATCCTGCTATTAAAGAAACTCTCATGATTTCTATGGGCTATACCATTAGCTACGGATAATTTAGCAACATTAAATTTAATTTAAATAATAATTATTTATAATTGACAATAAATATATTTTTATACGTAAAAAATGCCATTGTTTAATTGACAATTTGTTTTAACAGTTTATTGACTTTAAAACGATGGCTCACAAATTAATTGTCTAGTCTTGTAAAATATTATTTTCGATTAAATAAAAATTATATAAATTATTATGCATTAATTTATATGATTATTGTTAATGTATAAATCTTAATAGATGTAAAGCTTGCTCATAAAATGTAAAATGCAAAGAACTTGTTGCTGCTGCTTTCACTTGACTAGGAAGTAAGCCTTTGAATAAACCGAGAACGCCTTCATCTTTGACAATACGTACAAAGCAATCAACCAAGCCACCGCAGTGGAAAAATTTGCCAAACCCAACTCTTCCGTGCTCGAAGCCCTGAATTTGCAAACGCTTACGCCCCAGGTCCATCGGATAGATCGCAGTTTTTGAAAGCACTCCAGCGATGCTTCCAGATAGTAATGAATTCGAGACGGTTATTTCACTATCAGGTACTAATCTTCTGTATAAACTTGTTGATATATTGTAAAAGAGAAATTGCAAGCCAGTGTGTGGGGCTACTTGCAATAAAGTCAGTGAAAGTCCTCGAAATAATGTTCTTACTGATTCAGTCTTTAGAATTGTCCTGATTAAAAATAATTAATTTTTTTTAATTAAGATTGATATTTATTTATTGCTTTGATGTACGTACCAGTAACAATTGAATAATCCAGTGTAAATTTTCCGAGTTGAAGATTGCGCGACGAGTCTTGTTCTTGCAGTATCAAAAGGAAATGAAGCAATTGTTGCAATTGTACCAGCTGTTGCACCAGCTATAAAATTCATCGAGTAATGTCTGTTGTTTATCTTTGAATCTGTCATCACTTCCATCAACTTGTTGTAACTGTAAAACTATAAAATAAATTATTTAATTATATTTCATGTTGTTATTTATTATTTCTTGCCTTCCACAATTACCTGAGTCAGACCGTAAGTAATTGACAGAAATTGCGCAGGTAAGTGGCCTTTCCAGAGACTGAAAATACCTTCTTCGCGGATTATCGTCGACGTTGCATGAAACACTGATCGATATTTACTAGAGTGTGTATGAGATATTGGTTCCACTTGTAACTAATAAAATTATTTTTTTGTTAAAAAAATTCTAAAAATTATTTAATGTCGCTCAATTTTAATATCATAAACAATACCTGAAAGCGAATTTTAATGACATCAAAAGGTTGACATATCAATCTTGTCAAAAATCCACTGACAGCTCCAGCAATAGCGTGATTTTGGCTCAAATCCATTTTTTCTATCTAAAAATTCAGATTAAAAATATTTAAAAAAATTTTTTTTTTTTTTATTGTAAGTAAACAAAAAATAAAAAATATTATTCTAACCTTAAAATTCTATTTAATTTTACATATTTATTATTGTTTTGTTCCCCAGGATATTTTATTTGTTCAAAACACTTGTTTAAATTAATTAATCAACATTACAGTGAACTAATGACAATTTTTTCATTTATTTTTTTTTAATTACACTTTTTATTGCCAGTATTTATAGCTCCATAAAACAAAACTAAAATCCTTTTATGTAACCATGTTTTTATTTTATTTTAAATATATTTTTATTTTTATTTAAAAATAATTTAATCAAGTGCGACGAATATCAACACCAGGATAATTAATTTTTTGAACAGGCCAAATTTCATCTTCTTCCGGCTCAGAATTATTATAATAATTGTCAATAACACTTTTCAAGTCATACCCCGATGGGTTACTGATTAATAATTCCAGAATCTCACCACTGGGAAGACGATCATTACCTTCTCTAGCCAAGACATCCAATTTTTCTTCTATAAACTAATTTAATTCTTCCATTATTAACATGCATAACTGATAAACTAATTTCAACTGACCTGAGTTATTGTCAATTCCCAGTAGAATTTATAAATATTAATAATTGCATTATTATAAATGTCTTTGATATTTAAACTAGCAGAATTTTTAGACTTAGAAACAATCTCTCTATAATACCATTTATAAAAAAATCTCCCAGTATCACTGTAGTGTATTGGAAAACATTTACAAAAATTTAAATTACACAAAATATTAGAGCCAAATTCATAGACCACTTCTTCTGTAGACTCAATTAGACATAAAATATAATTGGAGTATAAAAGTAATAGTCCAGTAATTTTATCCGAATATTCCTTCACAGTATCTTCAAATAATTTAATTGTTTCATTGGATGATTCAATTTTAGCGAAGATGATTAATTTAAATACTAAATTTTTATTTTTAATTATATCAAAAATTGTTCGCTTCAACGGAGCGTTCATATTTAATGTTTGATCAATAATTTCATCGTCAATAAATAAAAAAAGATGTCTAAATTAAATTAGCCGACATTTAAAAATTTTTATAATTTATTTTATTGAAAAATTTTTTTACTTGTAATTTATTTAATAAAAAAAATCAAAATTTGTTAAGTTAATTAAACGGCGGCTTATTTTAGTACCATAAAAAGATGAAATTAAAAATAGAAGAAATAGGTAGGCTTAAAAAATAAATAATAAAATAATTATTTATGATTAAGTGAATTTTTTATTGTAGGTAAATGAAGTCAATACATGAATTATGCTGTTTAAGTGATATTTTATCTGATATATATATATATATATTTATTATTTTATTTTATACTTTCGCCACACTTATTTTTAAAATTGATACATATAATCAATAACAAAATCGTTAATAATTAAGATCATATGGATCGTTAGCCACCCCAATGATTTGGAATGAATACTGAAGTATCGACATTATAATTAAATTTACTTTAAAAGGTATCTACTTAAATAAACACAAAGATTTTTCGTGTCGAAAATAGTTTTTTTTTAACAAACATTCGTTTTCTTCTTGTAAGAAAAATAGAAATAAAAAAACATAAGTTAAACTTCTTCTAAATTTGAACTCTGTTTTTATTTATTGCCATCATGGCGAAGTGAATTAATTAATTTTATATAAATAGAAAAAAATTTTGTTAAAAAAAAAGACCGTGCACGCGTGATAACCAATACGTGAAAATCATCAATTGACTTTAGACTTGAAATGAATTTCTAGAATATGACGAATTATATTCCCACGTATTTATGTTTTGGTTAACGTTCCGATCATATGAAGAATTATTTAATCAACTGTAGTTGTTGTAGTTGTTGCTTCTGTCTTCGAATCTTTTGTGTACTCCGGAAAAGTTGTTCTCCCGTCCACCTCCACGTCCTCCACCGTAGCCCCAACGACCTGATGATAAAAAAAATTAATATTAATATTTAAATAAATTTTTTATCAAAATAAAGGTAGCCTCTAATTTTTTTTTTAGTAAAAAAAAATTTCATTCACAATAAATTTGAAAAACTGTTAGTGCAATTAAAAAATTTATTTTTTAGTTATAATAAATTAAGCAAAGCTAAAAATGTTGACTAACTTTATGATTATAATTTTTTCAATTAATTAAATTAAAAAAAAAAAATAATAACTTACTTCTTTGTCCGTATCCACCTCCATGTCCTCCGGATTTACTGGCGAGCTCGGACAGCTTGGGGTTGATGACTTGGTTAGCTTCTTTGAGTACGTTTATTAAATCTTTAGCCTGTCGACTGTTTTGTGGCGTAAAGAAAGCGTAACTCGTTCCGGTGGCTTGAGACCGTCCAGTTCTTCCAATTCTATGGATGTAATCCTCCGACGAGGAAGGATAGTCGAAGTTGATTACATACTTAACATCATCGACATCTACATCCCAACAATAAAACCCGTTAGCAAAAAAAAAAAATACCAATAAATACCAACTAAACCGTGTTAAGTAAAAAATTTTACTTTTAAATTGAACATTTTTTTTTATATATTTCAACTAAAAAGCAGAAATGAAATGTTGAGGTTCAAATCTAGCTTGTGAGCGTGTTAAAAAATGAAAGTATAAAAGCTAATTATTAAAGTCCAACTTTACTAATCAAGAATTAAAAAAAAAAAAAAAAAATAGTTAATGAATAAAAATGTAATAAATGACTTGTATGAAATGGTAGCTGAAATTGTAAAAGTACAAACCATATCACTGCTGAACATTGCATTCGATGTAAGCGCAAAGTATACTCCTCGGCGTTGTACAAAAGTTGAATGCAAGTTCAGATTGACGCTCGGTATTTATTCACAAATAGCGATAGTAGCAAAATCAATAGATTGTTGTCTCGCACCGGCTGATATTGATAATTGGTCTTTTAACGGCGTGTGCGTGCAAGCCCAGAGCCTTTCAGACAACCAGCGCGTTACCCGCGCACCACTCATAACTTACGTGGTACACAGGCCGTACACAGAGGCACATTAATAAGTACATGCTTAATAAAACGCACGCGAATATCCGCATGTACATATCATATCATCTATATATTTCACTTTTCATATATAGTCTATTTAAATAGAGCACAGACATTGAGTGAGCCATGGTTCTGATTGTATGACTTATTTTAAACGTTTCAAACAAATATTCTTTTCAAGATTTTTTGTTCATCGCGCACTCAACAGAATCTGTGCATCATGTGCCTCTGAAACAAAAGACAACCAGACTGATTAAAATAAATTACAAGATGCCCACACTCAAGCTCTAGTTCCCCGCTTCTTCGTTTCTTATCCTTCGACACTTTATTTTTTTTTTTATTTATTTTAAATCCCAAACTTTCCCTTTTCATACACCTAATTATTTATTTATTTATGATGTAAAAAATTTAATGTAAAAAATTTAATGTAAAAAGTTAGACCCTGTAAGAAGAATCCCTGATGAAAAAAAAAAAATAAAAAAAATTCTGTCGGTGTAAAAAAATAATTTCAAGAAACTAGTCGAAGCATTTGAGACGAAAATTTAATCCTGAAACACCTTACGGCGCCATAATCGTGACAACTCTTTAATAAACTCTTCACGAGCAGGCATCAACTTCATATAACCAGTCTGTGCTACATCGCCACCCTCCCTCGTATTGTTTCCGACTCTTATTAAACCCTAACTGTTATTTTAATGTTACTCAAGAAAATAAAACCAGACAAATGATACATAATTATCAACGATCCCACCCTTCGCGAGTAGAAAAAAAATAATTCAAAAATCCGACACGTTTTAAACTGAGCCAGATTAACATCTTACCGAGTCCACGAGCAGCAACGTCTGTTGCTACAAGAATTGAACCTTTCTTGTTTCTGAATTCTGAAATAAATAAAAGAATTAAATTAGTAATTTTTAATTGTAGAAAAAAAACAATTAGATAATTTACCTCTAAGAACATAATCACGTTCTTGCTGTGATTTGTCTCCGTGCATACACACGGCAGGCCAGCCGTATCTTCTTATGTTTCTAGTAATATTTTCAACTTTTTTCTTAGTTTCTACGAAGATAATTGTTTTTCCACCGTCATCATTAACATTACCAATTTCTTGGAGCAAAGATCCTAATCTGCAATATAAATAAAAAATTAATTAGCAAAATAATCATTAAGTGACAAAAAATACTTGAATAAATAATAAAAAAAAAAAAAAAATCAGATCTTCTCAGAGGTAAAAAAATTCTTGTATAAAATCACGTTACTTCATAAAGGAATTTCATCATGTAAAAAATAAATCTAAATTTAAAATTAAATTTAAAAAAAAAAAAAAAAAACTTACTTTGTTTCTTTTTCATGTTCTTGGCATACATCAACAATTTGCAGAATGTTGTGGTTCGCACAGAGCGAGAGAGATCCAATGTTCAATTGAGTGTAGTCAACGAGATATTCCTCAGCCAACATTCTGACTTCCTTTGGCCACGTAGCAGACCACATAAGTACTTGTCTGTCAGGTCTGATTTGCTCGATAATTTTTCTAATTTGTGGTTCGAATCCCATGTCCAACATACGGTCAGCCTCATCGAGTACCAAGTACGTGCATCTGCGCAGATTGGTGGTGCCGCGTTCGAGGAAATCAATAAGCCTTCCAGGTGTGGCAATAACAATCTCAACACCACGTTCCAGGTCTCGAGCTTGGCTGCCCTTGGGAGCTCCCCCGAAAATGCATGTGTTCCTTACATAAGACAGAGATCCAAAATCATTGGCGACTGTTTGGATCTGCTGAGCCAATTCTCTGGTGGGTGCAAGTACCAGGGCGATGGGTCCGTCTCCACGGTTCAGAGGTTGCTGGTTGTTGATGTGAACGATAGCAGGCAAGATGTACCCAAGCGTCTTTCCGGATCCTGTTTGAGCAATACCGACCATGTTGCGGCCGGACATTGCAATGGGCCAACCTTGGGACTGAATAGCCGTCGGCTCGGTGAACCCTTGTCTCTTAATTCCCTCCATTACGTAATCCGGGAAGTTTCCTTCATCGAAAGACTGGATTGGGTCTGGAATTTCCTCTCCTTTAAGAGTAATTTCTTTTTCTTGTCGGAAAGAATCGATTTCGCGGTAGTTTCGCTGGGAAACGTTTGAATGTGGGACGTAGAAATCTTTCTTGAAAGGTTTCAGATTTTCATAATCCCAGTTGGGTTTTTTTAGGGTGTTGCCAGCAGTTTTAGGGTTGTTTGAGTTGCCACGGTTTCCAAAGCGTCCATTCGAGCCACCAGTGTTTCCACCTCGTGCTCCGCCGAACCTATTACCACCTCCACCGCCACCGCCGAAGCCATTGCGCGGCGGTCCGCTGCTACGCTGAGCAGCTCCGCCTTTTCCTGCTCCACCACTGCGGAATCCACCACCACCACCAGACGATGCACCACTGTAAGTCCTGGAAATAATTTTATGTTAGGAAAAATATTTAATGGCTGTAAGTATGATGAATAATAATAATAATAATAATAATAGGCGTATGCTATTTAAATATGACATTAAAACTAGCAGTCACTAGAAAATTTTTCAATTTTTTTTTTTTTAACATAAAAATTTGTTTCAAAAAAATATTTAAAAAAAATTGCATTTTTAATTTTTTACATATATTTTTTTTTTGCCATAATTCATTTGTTAAAAAAAATTATTAACTATCTGGTAAATTTAGTTCTAAATTTCAATAAATAGAAAATTTTTCAGTGTCGGCTAACTTAATTTTCATTAATTTAAATGAATTATTTAGTCCAAGGACAATTCTTTAATTATTTGAAAATTAAATGGAGTCGTTTTGTTGCGAACATTGAGAGACGGATCCAGACAAAGTGTGTGGACACCGAAGGCATGTTTCGCGGATTTTATCTACCTCTCACAAGCATTCATGCTCAGTCGAGATACAAAACTGAGGCATGCCAAAATGAGAGGCCATAAGTTGCAGCTAAATTATTTTTAATAAAATTCAACGTGACCTATGATTATTGCGACGTACACGTAATGGCCGCCGACTATGACTACGATACGGAAGGCGTTTAATGTAAATGTTATATAAATATTGAGTTATTCAATTTAATGATTAATTTATTTATTTAATTATTAACGTTGTTAATAATAATTAATAATTGTAATTATTGGAGTTAAAATTAAATAATCAATAATTTACTTACATTTTTATAATTGGGATGTTATGCTTCACTGTCCCGAAAAAAGATGTTTAATTATTTGTAGTAGATGTTACAAAAAGCGGCTAAGATCTCTGTAATAATGTGAAAAATACAACTGGTTAATTGCTGGCGATTTAACTCACTGAGCCAGCTGGATTAAAATATCCAAAAACTAAATTTAAACGAATGATTGAAAAACACAACTTACCCGTGCCGCTGATAGGGACGGAAAGATCGAGTGTCGAGGATGCCGGAAGCAACTTAACTTATCCTGGTGAGTGGGAGAGTCTTCTCTGCGCAGACAGCTATTTTGCGGCTCTGCACATGCGCAGTCGAGATAAAACACGTATTCTTTGCGCAGTTATATTGATTTTCGTAACTCTTTGTTCGTTTTAGAATTTTTTATTAAAATTAACATTATTTTTAGAGTAAAAAATTTAATTTATTAATTTTTTATTTTTTTTTTAGAGTTATTTGTAATAAATTTTACTTGTTATTTCTTTTTTACTTTGTTAGTCAGCAGGTAATTATGTACTACTAGAATCAATTTTATAGTCAGTGCTCATGCGTGAACTTTAGAAACTAAATAACTGCATATTGATTTTTTTATTAAATTATTACAGCAAAATGGCGCTAGTTGTCCCGTTTGCTTTTATTTTTTTTTTTATTTGTCACTTCTGGAAAAGTCGAGAAAAAGATCTATGAAAGTTTATCGAGAATTTACTGGAACTTTTTATTGATCCCAACAATTATTTTATGAAAAATCGAATAATAATGATGATAAATTTATGAATGATTCATTACAGCTGACTTTTCAAAATTTTTACAACTAAAAAAATATTTATACTAAAAACAAAACAATTAAAATATTCATTAAAGTTTTTTTATTTAAAAAAAAACTAAAAAAAAAAGGTAAGATGTCAGCTGATTTTATTTTTAATTTTTTAAATTAGCATTTTTTAATTTCAAGTCATATTTTATTTAAAAAATGACTAAATAATAAATCTAATAATAAAAATTCTATATTTTCTCAATAAAATCTAATTAACTAAATGACATTAAAGTTATCAGTCACTTCATTATTTTTTTATTTTTTTTTCAACAAACAAATTTGTTAAAAAAAATTATTTTTAAAAAATTGCATTTTTAATTTTTAAAATGTTTAAATGTCAATTTTTATTTTTCATTTTTTTTTTTGCCATAATTTATTTATTACAACAATTTAAAAAAATATTAAATATCTGATGAATTAATTTTCTTACAATCTAAAATAATAAAAAATAAGGATTAGAGGAATGTCAGAGGAAATAAACAAGGCATTTATATAAATACAATTGCAATATGTTTTTATTATTATTATTATTTTATTTTCTATCATAATACTGTATAACATACAAGAAATGCACTTTAGTGAAACCTACAGAAGAGAATCTGAATGTAGAACAATATTTGTATTATTATAAATTTAATTACATTGTTTAATTTAATTATTAATAATTGAAAATAATTATTTTTATTTTGAGGATTTTGTTGCAATTAACGAGTTGTCTCCCTTAATTTTTTTTAATTATTTTATAAGATAAAAAGAAATAATATCGAAGGCGATAACGACACTACACTGGGTGTTCCTTTATCATAATAAAGAATTAGTCCCTACCTCAAAATTTATTTAACCTTTTTAAAGTTTAAGTCTAAAGGACTGAAGTATTACGGTGGTAATGTTATACCACACTTATATATCACGTTATTCTTCCACAATGTCATGGTCAGAAAATAAATATGTTTTTTTATTATCCGCCACTTCAAATGACTCTTACAATTGTTCACTTTGTTTTTAAAATAAATACTTCAATTATTTTGATGCAACTAACTCGATCGGAATAAACAATCGGCTAACGACCAGGGAACGGCTTCTTGGTACTCTCGTTTTATTTAATTATATATATATTTTTATATCACAAACTAGTATTTCAAATATAAAACATATACAAGCCAGCTAAGTTCGCCAGATTAAATTCATATTCATATACATTTTTTTTATTATTTATTCCTTTTATTTTGTCAATAGTTTTTTTTTTTTTTTTAAGAATAAATATATTGTTTTTAAAATAATTCATATATAGTTTAATAAACTATTTATGAAAATAAACATACTTGTATGTGATAATTGATAATAATAATAATAATGTAATAAATGATTTTGACTAGACTTTCGATGAGTTTGATCTATGAAAATATTGAAAAATATTTCAATAGAATAGAAAAAAATACATTTTACATTTTCATCATTAAACTGTATAATTATTTTATTATTTGTTAGTAAAAATAATACTAATTAATTGATAAATCAATTAGTTTTATTATTATAAATTAATAAAGATTAACGGATAATGAGATGGTGTATATTAATATTAAGATTGCTTATTTAATTCAATCGAATTTATATAATTGACAGTTATTTAATATAAATATAATAACCGGCGTGTCACACTCGAGAAGAAAGGTAGTCACTTGTTATTTACTTTATCTTCAAGCAATTAAATATTAACAATAATAGACCATTTTTCCCAGTAATTTTTCGTTACTTGCACATTTTATTTTTATTATCAATATTTATTCATCAATCGTTAGTAATTAATAACTTTGAAATAAATAATACAATAAAGGAAGAATATTCGATTGAATTTAATTTTTAAAATAAACTATCAAGTTTTATTTAGCCGTAATAGATATATTTTTTTTTAGTCATTAAATCACGGACGGCATCGTAATACAAACGTATTTATTTACAATAAATAAATATTTTTGTTTTAATAATATACAAACACATATGTCGACAGTTATCGCAATTGCCTTTACAACTTGTTAATTGTTTTAACGTTGCGAAAGATCAGTCTTGTATTAAAGGAGATAATAATTATATTTTATTTTATTATTACAAGTTATTTATGCTTACTCGCGTTATAATATTACAATCAATAAAAAAGTTTCATGTACGCGATATCACAGCGCTCAGCGTTGTAATTAAGGTACTCAGTATATTTTTTTTAATTAAAAAAAAAAAATTTTTTTTTTTTTTTTTTTTAATATTTATAATTATTTAGTTATAAAAAAAAAATTGTCACACCACATTATATACTGAGGCTTACGCGACATGACCAAAATAGTGATTATATTACGCGAAAAGCACAAAATAAAAAAAAAAAAAGAATTAAAAAGCAAATGTCCCAAGGTGTCCAACTTGGCACAGATATTAATCAAATAAACTCAAATAAACTATACAGATAATAATGATGGCAATCACGATTGATAACTGTACAAAATACTAATTATTAATATAACAAATGTTGCAAGTACGCCTATCTTTCTCATCAGTTAGCGACACGTTTATTTTAAAATATTTTTCCTAACAAGCAATCACTAAGTATTTTGTGTGCGTGTTGTCTTAAAATCATGTGTTAGTAACACGTACGTTCAGCCGTTTTATTTTATTTTATTTAAAAACATCTCTTTATTCATTTTCTTTTATTATTTTTCAAAAAATAATTATCAGCTATTCTTAATATACCTAACACAGTCAGAGTACTCAGAAAGTATCAGTTAGCAGAGGTCTCGTCGTTGCCCCGTTTATTCTATTAACTATTTTGTAATAAAGTTGATTCATTATTATTTTATTGTTATTTATTTATCTTCATTTGTTTATTTTTTTAATTATTTCGCTCGCTCTAATCCTCGTTATTCTACCTTTCTCTCCCTCACGTTCGCTCGCACTTTCACCACTTATTTAGAACGTGTTTAATAGATTTTTCTTTGTATGTAAATAAGTTTCATTAAAATTGGTTTACAATAAACACCAATTTTTAAATTGGGAGACTCATAAACTGCCTTAATAATTTATCAATAATAATGTTTTTTTTCTTTACTCTTGTGTTATTAAATAAATAATTTGTTTGTATGTATCAATTTCCGCCAGTCGACAGCAAAATCCCCATCGAGATAACATGATATGGTATACCACATATATAAAATTGATGAGATACGTTTCCCTATTATAACCATGCTGCGCATAAAAATTTTATTTTATTAAAATTTATCCGTGCGCTACATATTACATATCACAGAGCTACGCGTAAACTCCCTATCGATATCCAAGTGACATATTTTATTTATTTAAATTCTCTTTAATATTATTAGATTACTCATTAATATTACTTATAAAAAACTTTGATATTATCATTGTTATTACAATTATTATTTTTAATAATTTAATTATTTTTTTTTCTTGCTAAAGTAAAAAAACTAAGTGTCATTATAAATTCGACAGAGAGAATACGCTAATGTACGGCAGCCTCCTGCAGTTTTATCACTTGCGATTTGTAAGCTTTCTCTTTTTATTATTTACTTTTATTTATCTCACTCATGCTCACTTTCTCTCTTTTTGCTATTCAATTATCCTCCATTATTTGTTTCATTTTTTTTTTATTTAACAATAACTATCTCAGCGTCTGTCGATTGTCATGTTTGAGGAAAAAAAGCTTAAATTCGAGTAAAAAGATACAACAATAATACATCTCATTACTTCCAAATCGGATTTTAATTAATGACACATCAATAATAATAATTAAAAATAATTAATAGAAAAAAAAAAAATTGACGTGTGCGTGAGTTTCAATATGCAAGACCACTTTAAACTAAAATTAATAATAACAACAACGATAATAATAATAATAATAATAATAATAATAATTAATAGTAGTATTTATAATTATAATATTATAGAGACTAATTAAATGGCCTGACATAAACTACACAATAACAGAAGGTGGCTCTTAAATAAAAAATACACTGAACAATTATTAAATTATCATCAAACAGACGCTAGATTTTCAATCAAGGATCACAATATTAGTTACAGTAACCATAATAATAGTAATAATAATAATATACAAACAATTTTTGTTTAAATATTGGTCGCAGGGATCCTCGTTACAATAAATGATCATTTTCATTTTTTAATCCTCATTTGTTTGCTCTCTATTTATTTTTCTTTAACCTTTATTTATTAATTAAAAAACGCAGTACTTGGGTATTTATTAAAATTGCCCAAGACTGAAAAGGAACTGCCCTAATACACGAGCCATTAAAATTAGCGTTTGACGCTTGTTAGCCTCGTAGTATTTCGATAGTAGTATAGTATCTTTATGCGACTTTACTTATTTAACAGATTATTAATGTTACATTACAAACAACCTAGACTCACAGAGTAATATAATAATAACTAAACGTAAATGATGACATAAAAAAAAAAAATAAAAAGAAAAAACAATTTTTAAAAGTTTGTTTTTTTTTTTCTTCTTTTATCTTTATACTTATTAAATTTTTAGACGCGTCAACTAAAACAGGTACAATTGGGTTTACGATTGGCAGCCACAGCCTGCACGTGCCTGCACGAGGGCGTGCAAAATGGGACCACTCGGTGGCCAGTTGCATAAATATAAACTTTTATTTATATTATTAATTCGTTGATCTAACAACAAATTGTTAATTACTTATTTTTTTTTTCTTTTTAATTAGTTTTATTTCATACAAAAATAAGGTACCGAGCTTTACAGCCATGCAACTATACGCGCCCTTTTAACTTGACATTTGTTTATTTATTCGATAATAGTCAATCGTCCTTTTTAAGAGCTTCAAAAACATTGAAAGACGTTTTTTTAACCGAGACATATTATCTATCAGTCTCGAGTACGAAGAGATTTATTAATATCTAAAATCCCACACTGGCTTATTAAACTTTATTTTATTATTATTTTGTTTCTTATTGGACGCAGAGCTTAATTTTTATGCAAAAGGCCTTATTTGTTTTCTTACATCTTTTTAATTTTTAAATAGAATGTCTTCAGCATACGCAAAGTTATAAATAAACATTATAAATCATTAATCCTAGCCCACCCCCCTTCTATACGTTTCGTGCATTTCAGAAAAGCATACAGATAATAGTTTTACATTATTACCGCAAAGAGATTACTATTTATCAATATAATATAATATTTTTAATTAATGACCATCAATTAAAAACTACATTCGTGGTCATTTACCAAATATTTTTTTTTTTTACGATTAATATATTATAATAATTATTATTATACCACCGCTATCGAGCTATTATTTAAAGTCAAAACTCGACTGGAATGTGCCTCAAATAATTGGCGCATTTATTAATTTTAATTATTTATCTTTCAATTCTTTTAATTATGTTCATCTATCAAGATGAAATTGTACTTTGTAAAATAATAAATATATGTGTAAAATTACCAGATAAACCGAAATATTCATTATTATTAATCGGCTATGATTTATAACATTGTAGGCCTTAGATAATAAATTTAATGAATAAGTTTGTCATGTTTTAACTTTGATTTTAGCGATTAAAGTTATTTATCCTCAAGGCTGAAAATTTATTCGCCAATGAGCACCATTCCAGAAAAGTACGAATAGTATAACCACCAAAAAACAACCAAAACAAAAAAAAAAAAAAAAAAGAACTAGTATTATTAATATTATTATATAAATATATATGCATTAATTAAAATAAAATTATTAAGATTATTGTAAAGACATTAGACGAAGGAGATATATTGATTTAACAATAAAAAGCCCATTTGGTGATTTATAAAGAAAAAAAAAATATAAGAATGTCAAAGCGTATTTTTTATATAACGCAATTGACGATAATAATTGATCCTTAGTCGACGCAAACTTTTATATAAATTTACCTCTAGTACTGGAGAATCACTGTTGAACGGGTGTTGGTGGGTAAGGATATCCGTAGGGTGAAACAGCTTGGAACTGACCGTATCCCATTGATTGATATGCACACGCGTTGGCAGTTGGTGGTGGTCTGTTTGTCTGGAAGAACTTGTTACTAACTAGACTCTGTATTCCCGAATCAGTGTGACCATTAGATGGCATTAGGAATGGTGGTGGCATCGAGTAGACATTCTGCCCATTCTGACTTCCAGCGTACGCGCCTTGTTGTCGTTGAGGATTCATGCTGCGGTTGTTTTGATACGCTGAACGAGGCTGGTATCGTTGTCCGCCGTTCTGGCCCTGGTAATTGGGGGAATTCTGGGACTGATGGTAGTTGCTTTGTTGGTAACCAGTGTTTGATTGACGTTGTTGGGTCTGTTGCTGCTGCTGCTGCTGTTGTTGTTGTTGCTGCTGCTGGTAGTTGCCGTTCTGGTAATTATTCTGCTGGCGAGGAACGTATCCATTTTGCTGGCGATGCATGTTGGATCTCTCGTAAGAGTTGTGTTGCTGTTGTTGGTACACGTTTGTCTGCTGGTTGTTGGACCAAGTGCCAGTAGGACTGCCGGCGTTGCCTCTGGGGCTGGAGTTGGGGTTGCTGTTTGGTGAAGACCTGGCAGGGTTCCACCGTTGACGATTCTTGCCGAATTGGCCACGCTGCGCGCTTGCCAACTCAGACAGCTGTGGGTTGATTATCTGGCCAGCTTCCTCCAGCACGGATATCAATTCCTTGGCCTGTCGGGCGTTGTTGGGTGTGAAGTACGCGTAAGCTGTACCTGCGCTCTGACAACGTCCTGTTCTTCCAATTCTGTGGATGTAATCCTCGGAACTGTTTGGGTAATCAAAGTTGACAACGTACTTAACATCCTCAACATCAAGACCACGAGCTGCTACGTCAGTCGCAACTAGGATTGCTGTTTTGCCGTTTCTGAATTCAGACAAAACGTAATCACGTTCCGGCTGAGATTTATCACCGTGAATAGCAATCGCAGACCAACCTTCCCGCTTTATCGCTTTTGTAATGTCATCAACTTTCTTCTTTGTCTCGACGAATATTATCGTCTTGTTTCCTCTCTCACAGCCTATTTCTCTCAGTAACCCCGTTAGCTTAGACTCTTTCTCGTGTTCTTGACAAATTTCAATTATCTGACGGATGTTGTGATTTGCAGCAAGAGTTAGAGATCCAATATTAATCTGAATGTAATCAGAGAGGAAATCTTCAGCAAGAGCCTGAACTTCTTTCGGCCAAGTTGCAGACCACATCAGAACTTGTCTGTCTGGCCTGATTTGTTCGATTATTTTGCGGATCTGGGGCTCGAATCCCATGTCCAACATACGGTCAGCCTCGTCCAATACAAGGTAAGTACATCTTCTCAGGTTGGTTGTGCCTTTCTCCAGGAAATCAATCAAACGTCCAGGTGTCGCGATGCAGATTTCAACTCCACGCTCGAGATCCCGGGCTTGGGGTCCTTTCGGAGACCCACCGAATATACAAGTATTGCGAATACATGATGAGGATCCAAAGTCCCGTGCTACTGATTGGATCTGCTGAGCCAGTTCACGCGTTGGAGCTAACACCAAGACGATCGGACCTTCTCCACGATTTAATCGCGGCTGATGATTGATGTGCACCGTTGCTGGGAGGATATACTACACAAAAAAATATTTATTATTACAAAATAAAAAAATATTTTGGTAAATATTTACAAGTGGGGTCAATGATTTTCATTTTCATTTTTTTGAACGAAATTTTTATTTGATTTTTTTTTTTTTTTTTTGAAAAATAGATTAAAAAAAAAGATAAAGAAATTTTATCCAAAAACATGAGCTAAAATTTTTTCCAACTTTTAAAGGCGAAAAAGCTATCGAAATAATTACAAAAATTTTTTATTAATTTAATTTAGAAACTTACCGCTAAGGTTTTTCCCGATCCGGTTTGAGCAATACCAACCATGTCGCGACCGCTGAGAGCAATGGGCCAACCCTGAGCTTGAATGGCCGTTGGTTCTTGAAATCCTTGCTTACAAATTTCTTGCATTACATAATCTGGAAAATTACTCTCTTCAAAAGCCTGGATCGGTAGTGGAGTATTGTTTCCCTTGACAGTAATTTCTTTTCCAGCGTGGTACTTGTGAACGTCGTCGGGTGAACGGCTTCTGATATTTGGATGGGGTACGTAAAGATTTTTAGTAATCACTGGTAGTGCTTCCATGTCCCAGTCTGGTTTTTTCAACAAATCACCAGGGGCTTTCTTCTGGTTATTTTGTTGGTTTTGCTGTTGCTGTTGTTTTTTGTTGGGATTGTTGTTCATGTTGTTGAATTTATTTGGATTTTGTTGTTGACTGTTCCAATAAGTTCCTCCGCCTACACCCCTGTTGCCATACTCTCTGTTACCTCTGGGCCTGAAACTTTTATATTAGAAAGACAAACGTACTCTGACACTACTTAATAATAAAAGGCTAATTCAATTAAGTAAAACTAATATAAAGTTAGCCGACGTTTTTAATTTTTTGTAATAATTAAATTAGAACAAAAAAATACTTTTAAAAAATTGCACTGACAATTTTAAAAGTTTTTTAACAAATGATATTTTTTTTTACTTTTGTAATAATTTTTTCAATAAAAAAAAAAATTCTAAAAAGTTTTAGATGTCGGCTAACTTAATTTTCATTCAAGTAAAAATCTTATTAAAAAAAAAAAAAAAAAATTTATGAACTGTCAACGAACAATTAATATTCATAAATAAATAAAAAATATTTTATTTATTGTTAAACATTCTTAGCGACAAGAGAAATTCACAAAATGGCCGGTCGGTTCGCGACTTTACTCGAAACTTCCAAGTCCGCCATGATGGATTTAAATCAAGACAGTTTTAAAAACTAACGCACTTGTAAAATAATTATAATTATAAATATTAATTGACAATTATACTTACGAAGTTTGTTGTGTGTAACCGTTAGTGTACATCTTGTTCGGCTGATTATTTTATCTCAAATGTAAGTAACTTTCTCTTTACTTCTCTCTCCTTCTATGTTAAACGTACGATATGTCAGCTCTTGTCTCTCAAACCTGAGAACAATGAAAAGTCAAGACATAAATTACGAGTTTAAATAAATTGTTTTGATATTTTATTATCGGTATTGATGATAGTGAGTGTTAGAAAGACTTTAGTGGTATTTTTGGTGAGAAATAATGCTGAGAATTAGACTAAATTGTAAAATAATGCGGGAGCACTTACTCCAGTAACCCGGTAAGCAGAGTCGACAATGGCTAACAGGCACTGAGAAGAAGGAAACGGCCAGCTACCTAGAATTTACCGTACGTGACGTAACTTCCGATCGCGGTCATGTGATCGCGCTCGGCGAATCGCTGCACGGCTAGCTATTGTTTTTTAGCGCCGGCGCAAAATCCTCCAATGGTACTATTCACTTAAAATCAATCGATTACTTTTATTCTCGCTGTTTTTTTTTTTTTTTTTTATT